TCAGCGGCAGCTCCCAGCTCCCTACGGTGCTCCCGCTGAGAGGGGTCATGTCAGACATCAACTCCCGTCGCGTCAGCTCTTTTTCTCCCACAATTCCACACAGCTGAGGCTGTCACCGCAATAACCTCCCTCCCTCCCTCCCCCCCGAAAAAAAAGGTCCAGACACTGGGTCCCTAACATTCACGGAGACACGCACATATTTCATGATATACAAACATAAGCCGAAAATGCACACACTCGTTCGCCGCCTCTATCAAACACACACACATTTCATGTCTTCAGGCCTCCCGGAGGAGACGGACCCCCAACTGGTGTCCACCAGCAGGGTTGCTGGTCCTCCGCTGACATTCTCATCTCAGTCGTCTTAACCTCCCTGCCATCGTACAGAATAGAGACACCAGAACATGCACACACACACACACACACACAGAAGCACACATGGTCACAGTTGTCTGAGATAGTCTTTTTTTTGTTCCATTCCTGTCTAGTTTTTTCTCTTCTCTTTCTCTTTAGGTATCTAACTTTGTAAATGAGTAGATATGAGTAGTCCTGTGCTGTTTTCATATGCAGTTATTAAGCTGGAAATGACCTTCCAATAAATTATTATGTACCTTAATACAAGTCAGCATATTTACTCTGGTATCCAGATATCTTTGCCCACTATGAGATTAAGACATCAAAAGCTCTCCAAACCCCAACAATTAGACTATTTCAGACAATAGTAATAGTTTCCAATTGGTAACAACTAACTGTCACAAAGAACACTGTTAAAACAGGCAAACATTGCTATATGTTGGCCTGTGTTTTAAATGTGCTATTGTCAGTAAAAGTTATATATGTATAAATATATATACAAAGCCAACAATTAAAAATGAGGCTGAACATGGTTGTCATTTTGTAGTTGTAGATTTCTTGTCTCTCAATATTTCGAAAGAACTGCACCGAGCGACCCAGACGGCTGCTTGGCACTGTTAATTACATACATTTTTTACAAACCACTGTCAGTTCCTGACAAAGTAAAATAATTAATCACAAAGCTTACAATATTATATGTCTAAATGACAGAGATATAATTGGAATCATTTGGCTCAAACACTTGCAGACAGGAAGACAATGCAAAGGCACGCAGAGCCAACAAAGCTCTGTCTGAACGACGTTCTGCGAGGCAGCCTGGGGATCACTCATTGTCCCCATGTCTTTCTGCACGTCTCCTTCTGTTTAATTAAAACACTGATAATGTGACAGACCCAACAAAGTCCACTGCGCCCACTGATCTCTGCTGCTAAAGAAAAGAGTGGATAACAAAGGGCAACCTCCAAGTTATACAACACTTTTCATTTATTTTCAAAAACATCCACAATCGGAGCTAAGGACGCGACCGCCATAGAAGATATGATCGTCAGAACGTGAACGCATGACAGAATTGTAAGAGATACATGAGATTAACGTTGAATAATTCCGCAGCGCAAACGGGGGGACAATACGCAGGAATGCTGCGCCAACAAAGCTGGGTTTGACTGATGCTCTGTAAGGCAGCCAAGAGGATCAGTCATTGTCTGTCTGTGATTGGTGGGTTGTCTCCACTTCTCCGCAGCATCACCTCCAGCGGCATGGGAATTCTCCCCCCGCTGCTGTTTCTCTTTGCCTGCAGAGAGAGAGTGTGGTCACATGAGTGACGACTATACAAAAGCGGCACAATGGAAGTCAAACTTGTGTTTGATAAGTTATCTGACTGCGTATTGAAGGACTGAAGGATTGAAGGGTGTTTTGATGGAATCAAAATGGAACAGTGACAATTTTGAAGCCATCAAAAGGAAATTGGGGCGGGTTCTTTCAACGACATGCTACATGCCAAAATAGCTAGTGTGCAGCCAGGTCAACAGTTTAATTTAAAGTATAGCGCACTCTGAGTTAATACACATAAACTGGTGTTCATGTTCGTACCCCAGTTTTTGCATTAAATTATCGGGAGTTGGCTACATACGCAACTGTAGAAAAACAATACTCGCTCAGCTCCTGCAGCACTTCTCCACAGTTAACCTGCATGCTGTGTTCCCAATGCTTACGTTTATTCATGTAGATCTATACATTTAACAATTGCAGAGGCATTTTTTGGTGTCTTGCTCTCTATTTGTCTCTCATCTCCACACACAATATCATTGTTATCACGTCCTCTGCCCTTTGGAGTGGTGTGTGTTGGTCTCTGCGTGTATTTCTTGGTGGCTGGGGGTGGTTACTTCCCAGACGTGTTACCACGGTGACAAGGTGCTCCCTGCCGCCGTCGGGTCTCGGCCAAGTTGGGCGCCATGGTGACTGTGTGGTGACAGACTTTGTGACGAGTCCGCTGGGACACCATGGTTGGGTCGACCTTAAAAACAAACACATAAGCAGACACTCATGCAAGGCGTGCACACGCACGTGTACGCGCACACGCACATGCATTTGACACGGACATCTCAAATAGAGACGTGTTTGGCGGACACAGACTATAGGCAATAGTTTTGCATTTTACATGCATGTACAGTAGGGAATGAGAAGTACTCATCCACACAGTATGCACGCTAAATGCCAACCTGCTGGATCTGTATGTGCTAGTTAGTTTGTGTGTGTAGACTGATGTGCGTACTTGCATTTAATCTGACCGTTTACATTTAAATGTGTTTTCAAATGCAGCAGTGTCATATCACCTGCTTTGCTTTTGCAGTATAAATTATGGATTTATTGCCTATAGCCAAAATATCCATTGAAATAAACTTAGCGTTCGTCACTGTGTGTGTGTGTGTGTGTGTGTGTGTGTGTGTGTGTGTGTGTGTGTGTGTGTGTGTGTGTGTGTGTGTGTGTGTGTGTGTGTGTGTGTGTTTCTCGGTATATGCATTTGTGTGTGCATGCTAATGATTTGTCACATGTCTACCCGCTCCTCTGTGTGAGGGTGTGTGAGTTTCCATACTGGCATCCAGGAAAAAAAAACATGCATCCTAATGCAGATGTAAGACGCGCACACACAGACACAAAGATATGTGGACACACAAAAACCTTGACCAGGAGGACAGGAGAAGGCGAAGGAGCCACAGTTTGAGCCTCCTGCTGTGAAGAGGTCATGAACCCCTATCAGGACTCTGTGTCAGTCTGCCTAATTGTGGCCCTGGGTAGAGCACAAACACACACACATACACACACGCATTTAACTTACATGGTCTCCATGACGATGGTACGGGGCGACAGTAAGGCGGCAGGATGGCGCTTTGGTGTTCTGATGAGAGGACCCAACCTCATCATCATAATACATTCACTGTATCTGAGCAAAGTCTACAGGTGTCAGTACATAACAGGGGCTTAATACAACACAGGGGGCTCATGCAAGTGTATTGTCATTCATTTTGTATACATTCATGTTATGTTTTGATTTTTTCTTTTGCTCTTTGACCGAACTAAAGAAAGTTGCTTTTTTTTATTTGTAAATTTTCAATAACAATGAGAAGTAAATTGTACGAGACAGTGAAGCTGAAGGTGTGTGTGTGTGTGTGTGTGTGTGTGTCTGTGTGTGTGATTTCTGTTTGTTGTTGTATGTGTGTGCGTGCGTGCGTGCGTGCGTGCGTGTAAGTGTGTGTGTGAGTGGCAGGGAAGGGGAGGTTTCTGCCGTTGACTTTGACCACCAAGAGATACAGCGGCCAGAAAGTTATGTATTATTATGTCTGATACCAGTAGAAACCGTACATGATATCTTTGATGCGATCCTGCGTCAAAATCCCATGAATTTGAATTTGAACACATTGTAATCTTTGTTAACTTTGCCAGACATTCCCAACTACTCCCGAAAGCCAAGACAACGGGGTATGGATGCAGTGTTTTTTTGTTTTCAAAAGGTAATCAGATTTTAGTAACTTTAGAAAAGCCTTTTGAACGGCTCTCAACAGACCTTTTCCAAATTAACTGAGAGGGTCTTCAATTTCGTGCATTGTTGTTGTCTTATTAATAGTAAAAATGATTATTCTTCTCTGCACTGCCCTGCCCTGCCGTATACTGGTATTTCGACTCTACTCTAATCAAAAATGTTTCTTCCTTGTCCCTTGAATTAGGAAGGACAAGACTTGCAACGGAACGTAGTTACCCAGCACAAGAGCTTGTTTTTGCAGGATTAGATGGACCTCAGATGAAGTGTTAAAGTATAGTTGCTCTAGTTGGTAAAAGCTGTATTTGTCCCCCCCAAAAAATACCTTTAACAAAACGCCCCCAAAAAACACCCACATAGGATGAAGAAGTTACACCGGAGCAGTACTCAAACGTTGAAATCTCTTATACAGAATATGTATTTGCTGCCCCCTTCTGATCAATAAATATATGACAGTCACGGACTCACAGGTCACCGGTGCGACAAGTGAGATATGAGAAAGTGAAACTGAAAGAGATTAGTGACAGCGGCGATTGATTTAAATTGAAGTCATTTTGGTTTCTGAAAATAGATTAGCCAGAATAGATCCCCCAAATTAGTATGTAATCAAAGAAAAAAGAAAAACAGTGGAAAGTGAGACCTTGTGCGTGTGTGTGTGTCTGTTTGTGAGTGGCAGGGAACAAGGGCGTAACCATGGTTTAGACATGGGGGGGTGGGGGGGAGGGGTGACGATCCGACAGGCCGGCGGTACGGTCAATATGTACATAGATATATTTTACATATTTTATGCGGGGGACAGATTGGTACCTTTTCAATATTGGGGGGGACGCGACCCCCCCAAAGAATGCGTGGTTACGCCTATGACCACAAAGGTTTAATCTAACATCCCAAATAATATTATATAGGTGGAGGCTTCAAATAAGCCTCTTACTGCACAGTGAGATTAATTTATTTCTAATATGTTTACTTATTGTTTATCATCCATTGCTTGAATTGTGGATGATCGCCATCCAATTATTTTTAATCAATATATCCTTCTGATGTGATGTTGCCACTAGATGGCAGCACCGCGCCACTTATCATGTACCAATGATCCCAAACCTCAGGCTCAGGTCTGCGTTGCTCCTGAGCTGTGAACATCTGCTCGTGGACGTTTACGCTTTTCGATGCAACTTTATCATTTTAGATACAAAAAAAAAAAATCACCATTCTTTTTTTTTGTGCAAGAGACGCTCGGATGCGGCGCTCGTCACTCTGTCGCCATAGCAACGTCCACCCAACAGACCGACAGACCGGCGCCTTCGTCCTCACGATCACCGCAACATTAAACGCTAACGGGTTCTGCTAAAAACGCGTGTTCGGGCTTCTATCAATATGGAGAAAGTTGATATGGATCCAGAAGAGGAGTCTGAACCTGCTCTCTTAGCCGAAAACCAAGAGCCCGCGAGCACGTAAGTTTGATACTTTACCGGAAATACTGTGGAAATTCGCTTGGATTGACAAACGACGAGTAAATTGATTAGCTACATATGGATTGAGTTCAATTTATCGAATTCATTGAACTATTGAATATGTCCCGTGTGTGCTATATCATTATTGTAGAGGTTTAAAAAGAAACCACGTCCACATTTGTAAGTTTACCACCGATATTATAAATCACGTTGAAAACGGGTCACGTGAACGTATTTTCCACGTCTACGAATAGACGTTGAAACCATTTTGCAAACTTACAAGTAACAAGTTACATACTTAGTCACAGTTGCCATGTTAACAGCCCTTAACAAGGACAAACACGTTCATTTATTGATTTGTATTTATTATAAATATAACAACACTTTTTTTCCTAATTACAAACAAAACAAAAATAAAATATATTTTAGGGAAATAAACTGTGGAATTAAAAGTGCAGAAACAACATGGACAAGTTAGTCTAGAATTCTGTGTTTCTAGCCCATTTTTCTGAATCATTGGAACTTCATTTTCAGATTCTGTAACAAGATGTGGCTCTGAGTCACTGAAGTTGGGATAGTATACCTGAAATCCGGTGCATGTCCCTCATCCTCACTTGATGATTCTTTGTGTAAAGGGAGTCAGAGTGCACAGAGCAGATTCCTCTGGTCAACGTGTTTATTCAATTCAAATCATGTTATTCTGTTCAGTTTTGCAATATGTAAACATGCAACACCCTGCCCCCAAATCCCTAAAATGTAAAAAAACTTCAACCGGGAGAAACCTGAAGGGAAAACAGCAGGGAAGTAGGTGTGTAGAGTATGAACAACTTAAAGATGTACAGTACATCTAATTCCTACAACAGAAATGATTCACATATTGTGGATTATTAAGACAGGGGTAAGGCAGGACCAGTGCAGGGACAACCACCATCAGACGTAACCTCCATCAGATGCAACCACCACCCACAGAAACCTGTGAGGAGGGAAAGCACAAAGGCAAAGTTGGTCATTTGGGTTTATGATGACAGTAATAAACTAATAATAATAACAGCAGCAGGTGTGTTAGAACCCTCATTTATAGATTGTTTACATGGTAACAATTCATCTGCAATTTAGGAATTTCTGGAGTAGCATTTCCAGGTATATTACACAGTATCATGCTTTAAGCCCGCAGTAACTTACAATGTTTTGGCCCTCTTGTTTACAGACCACAACTTGTTGAATTCAGCCCTTCGCCCACGCAATCTGTAGTCGTGGTTCTATCAGCCCGTTCATGTCGCTCTGCTGCGTACAAACTTCGCCTCGTGCTGCATCCGGTCGGAGCTCTGCAAGCGTTTAAGAACTCGCGCATGCGCGTTACAGATGTGAGCGGAGTGTTTACAAGTAATGTTTGAACCTGCCCGCATTATTATGTCTTAAACGCATCTTATTAACAGCACGCCGTCCGTAGTTTCATATTTATGACGTTTTAAGTGAAATATTGAATACGTTGAAATTACGTCTTCGCGTACACCAAATTTCGCCGACCAGTTCATTAATTATTATGAAAATCTTAACGTTAATATCGTCTCTCTTTCAACCTTACGTTACAACATGACACATTTATCAACAAATTGACGTTTTCTCGTACGTTGATGTTTTATCCCATTTTTATCCGGTTAAAAATACGTTGAAATGAGGTCTTAGACGTTCAGACCTCATTTATACCCGATTTCAACGTTGAAATTACGTCTTGTGCTCACTGGGTGACTTCTCCCCAGAGTCTCCACACAGGATATTGAAGAAGACCCCAATACGCAGACCCATGAGAAGTTTAATGAGGCTCCTTCAGAGAGCCAGGAGGAGGTGGGAGAGGAAAGTGAAAAGGTTCGTTTAATTTTCAGGCCATGATATCAAGTGATTCTTGGATACTTTAATAATAGCTACTGGTTATTAAGTTGTTTTATGGTTGACCTAATATTTTAATCAAGAGCAATATCCTGAAATGAAACTGTCCTTTATGTGTGTCAGCTAATCCTTCCTCAAAGGATGATCAACCTGCAGAGAGATTTGACGACGTCAGTGAGCAACAACCAAACCGCCGCTGACGCCAAAGAGTCCATGCGCAGAAACGAGCTGGAGGAATCAAGGAAGATTCGGTGATTTCTTTAAATTCACCATTATCTATTTTACAACCACACCCGTGTGTCCTAAACCAACGCCCCTACTGTACGGACATTTAAAACAAACAAACAAGGGGAAATCTCTCTTTATTCATCCTCATTCTCACCCTTTTGTCTTTCTTCCGTCCTATTTTTCGTCATGTTTGTCCATCTTGGTCTCTAGGTCCGAGCGGCTCAAGAATAATGTAAAATCCAGCGAGAAAATATTTCAGGAAATCACCACAGGCTGGTCCAAGGCGAAGCAGAAGGTGATCCCTCAGGAGCTCCAAGAGGCCCTAAACAACCAGCAGCAGCTATGTGCTGCTATCATAAAAGACAAGAAAAAACTTCTGAATGACCTGCAACAGGTGCATCCATTCCATCCACCCATCGCATCCACCTATCCAACCATCCATCCCCTTCATCCCTCCATCCACCCATCCAACCATCCATCCACCCATTCATGCACCCGCCCATCCATCCATCCATCCAACCATCCATCCACCCATCCATGCACCCATCCAACCATCCATCCACCCATACATCCACCCATCCAACCATCCATCCACCCATCCATGCACCCGCCCATCCATCCATCCATCCATCTATCCATGCAGCCATGCACCCGCCCATCCATCCATCCAGGCAGGCTTCGTCCATTCTTAATCTAATTCCCCTTTGTGTTGCCTAAACAGGAGCTGAAAGTGAGAAATGATCAATTTGTAAAGGACCTGAGGAAGCAGGAAGAGAATCTGGACCTGACTATGGAGAGTTTTGAGAATGAGATCCAAACTCTGACTCTGTCCTACAAGGAGGAGCTGGCCCATATTTTGGTAGGACCCAAATCTCAGTCAAGGAGGTGCTTTAAATCATTTGCTTTACGTAATTTGTAGAGTCTCTATAGTGAGTAATCAGTTGGATGGGACGTATCGCGCCAGTGAGCAACAGAGAATTAATTTAATTTCATTCTTAATTCTTTCTGCTAGCAGCATGGCTCGATGAACAGCAAATATCCCCTGACTTTTCCTTTCTAGTACCACGATGACATTCACATTTTTGATTTTGAGTAAAATATCTCCAGAAGAGTATTTGATAGATTTCCATCAAATTTGGTAAAGAACGTTAATAACCCTTTCATGATTAATCTAATTAATATTATTTCCATAAAGCATTGTCATCAGATCCAGTGTGTAATTTTCCAGCACTTTGCGAAACTAACTCTTCCATCAGTGTCAGATGTGCTTTGTGTTTCGAATGTCATGCTAGTGTTACATGTTAAACATTAAAGTGCTTAACCTTAGTTTATTAGCCGCATGCTAAGCTTAGCATGGCTGCAGAGTCTTCTAAGCCTCGTTGATGTCGTTGTTGTCCTTCCCATTAATTGTGAGTAGGGAGTCAATCAGCAGGCGACAGAAGTATTTCTTACAAAAGAGCAGACTGACTGGCAACAACGCTTGAAGTTACTTAGTGACCAAGAGGTAAGAAAAACTGAATCAACAACACGCGTTCACACATGCAGAGTCAACCTCTAGTCTTCATATCTTATTTCAAGTCTGTATCTAATGATATCTAAACTAAACTTTTTTTTAGCATGGATGGTTGATGCAGTGGAAGAAAACCATGGAGGAGTGCGAAGCAAATGTTCACAGTCAGATATGGGCGACTGTTGAAAAGGACAGTAACATGACAGAACTGAATGCAGCTTCTCAGGTTTGTGCAAATACCAAGATGGACACCAACAGCTTCTCCTTTTGAATGAAACCTTTGTGATATGAGCTTCATTTTTATTTAAAAAAAAAGAGAAAATGCTCCGGATGACTCTGAATCTAAATTGGATTGGATTGACCAGAATAGAAGTTACAAATGATGTTTTGAGTGGACGATCATTCCAGTCTTGCCTCTGCAGGCTCAGAAGAGAAAAAAACAAAAGATGAAGGCGAAAAAAGAGGTCACCGCTTTACAATCGGCGGTGCCAGAGGTTACGCCGGTGGAGCTCAGACGAGATCTGAACCGCATGGAGAAAAGGGTCGGCAGGTAGTGCAGATTCTTTCCTCCTGCGCTCATGCGCGCACAAACGCACAAACGCGCACACCTCACTCTCTCTGTTGCTTCTGCTGCTTTTCTCTTTCAGTCTGCAGAAAGAGATTAAAACCCTCCGTGGTAGTTCCTCCACGCAGAAACAAGAGTTTCAAAAAACCACCCTGAGCATGTCTAAGGACCACAAACGCAGCATCGAGAAATATGAAAACGTCAAGAGGAGGATCAAGTGAGTCCTGATCATCCTGTCCGTGTGAAGCAACGCTGACGTGCTGCAGGCCTACATCTCTGACCCTTCTTCTCTCCATCCGCTTAACGCAGGCACTTTGCACTCGCTGATGCCAGACAGTACGAGGACATGTGGCTCACGGTCGACGAGGAGGTGAGGCAACTGGCGGACAGGGCTTTGGCCATTGACTCGCAGATCTGCGAGCTGGTCCTGGGTATCTCCTGGGAGCGACCTCCCATGGAATTCATGGAGCTCTCGGGTCCCAGGCGGCCTCAGGAAGGGGCGGGGCTGCTTCACGCCGGGGGGCGAGCTCCGCTGTGCGGTCAGAGGACGACGGACCTCTCAGTCGGGCCGAGGGCCGAGGCCGGCACCGAGAGCCGAGGGGAAACCGCGCGGGGCGAGGGGGACGCCGAGGCGGAGGAAGGGAAGATCTCGGCGGCGACGCTGAAAAAAGTGCTGGAGCTGCTGTGTGACAAGGCGGTGAGACACGAGTTCATTGGTAAAGGCTGTTGTTGGAAAAATGTTTATGTAGGTGATGTAGGGAAGCCAAGTATTTAAAAAGTAATACATTCATATCATTACAAGTAGTAACAGCTTTTTGTGCACACAGTATATGAAAGGAAATTTAGATATTAGGAAATACGCTTTAGTTAAATAATTAAAAAAGATCAATATTTCAGTCCGTGGTTTCAGGCTCTTCACTGTGAGAGCAGACGCCTCCTGAAAAGCCTGGCTCATAAACCCCAAAACGCAACGTGTCGGGTTTTTACGATTTGATTTGCTTATGAGCAATACAAGCCACATTTAACATGTTCATTTGTGAGCTTACAAAAGAGCGTACAACATGTGGAACTGTCACAGGAGCCCATAGGAATTTTGCAACTGGTTCGCCTGCTCTCAGAACTCTCTAGGAGGTCATATGAGAATCTTATACGTCCTTCCCGGCACCTTAGGGCTTCCTGGTGGAGAATAAACTGCTGAACCTGCTGGCTCCCCTGGAGGAGGAGGAACAGACCGTTGTGAAGCTGGCCTCTCTGCTTTGTGTGAGTCCACGCGCCGCCATGCATCGGTGCAACGTGGCGATCAAGCGCCGAACAACCAGCCGCACCGCTTTCTCTTCCAGACGTTCGGCCTTGAAGAGGAGGACGTGCCCAAGTTGGCGGAGTTCTTATTGAAGTACAAACCTCAGCAGAAAGATCAGACTGAGGTCAGGAGGCGCAGAATAAATATGGCCCGGGGTCTTTGACACGCAAAGAAGATTGTAGTTGATACTTTTTTTTCTGCCTGCAGGATGTTTGCGTTGAGTCGGGCGAATCCAGCGTCAAGGCAGAGGGAGCGGAGACCGAGTCTGCGACTCATTTGACCTCTGAACTCATCGATCCTAACCATGTCATGCCTGCTCTAAAAGTGTTCCTCGAGCAGCACTTGAGGTCCAGGTCAGACCTTCGCACTGATTTAAACAGATTACTCTGCATCGGCACAGCAACAGAGTCTGTGTTGTGCTTGTTAATTGACCGTCTGAAGTTTTGACGGTCAATTATGATACAACAGTGTTTCTTTCCCTCTGAATATGCAATGCTTTCTTTTTCCTGTTGTTGCAAAGGGAGAGCTCAGCCCGCCTGAATGAAATATCCTGCGACCCTTTAGACGACGAAGCCTACTGGGAAAGAATGGGCAATATAATCCCTGAAGACAGAGTGAAACTCTGGGAGCCCGCAGAGAAATCACTAAAGCAGCACCTGTTAGTCACACACATGCACACACACACACACACACACACAGCAACCGACCTCTGAACTCAAGTGTTTTGTGTTTTTTGTGTGTTTCCAGGGCGGTCCTGAAAGACATCTCGGAGGTCGTCCCTGAGATTCAGAGTTTGGAGAAGGAGAACAGAGAGCTGCGGATGTTGCTGCAACAGCATTTCCCATAGCTGTAGTATAGAAAACAGTATGGCTGATGCTTTAACAGTTGATATTCCCTGTAGCTTTTATTTTCAAATGTAAACTATATAGTTAGTGCAATACTATGGGTTTTATTCAGTTGTGTTATTGTGTTATACTTATGAGCAAGCAGACTACTTTTTATATCACATTACACATTTTGTTGGCCTACTTTGATATGAATGGCCTTCTATGTTTTCACATAATATACAATTACATTTTACTGATGTACTATAATCACAAAACATATTGCCATTTTTTTAAAAGCTTTTATGACAACATACCCTATGATTGTTTATAGAAGTACCAAACTAAAACTGACATTCAACACTACATATATTCTGTAACAGGCTACCCTATTTTGAAGATCATATAACCTTTTTAAACAAACAACATTTTTTCCAAATAAAACGATACTGAAACTTAGATGTGCCATGAAAATTAAGTGTTTGATGTGTGTGAAATAGTTTGACTGATAAAAACAAACATTTGGGTCTGTGACGAAGGGCAGCCGATCGTAATAAAATAGCTGAACTTGAGACCCTCAACCAGGTGAAAATGAGGAACATGCACTGTATTCTCAATAAGGGCCAGCATCAGTGGAGTTATTGGAGTAATTAGTGGAGACTAATTATTAAAGCAAAGCGCTGTAGCATGCTGACCAAAGCTGTAACATGTTTGAATGCATCAGTAGTGAAAGGGGAGGTTAGTTTCTGCACCAGAGAAATTCTGTTATGTTGCAGGTTCCTTCCAATCTATTCGCCTTCTCACAAGTATTCACTCAACAAGATGCTTTTGAGAACATCAAAAATACTTTTTGGGAATAAAGATTCTGTTTCCTATTTAGAATAGAAGAGGGTTCAGTGGCCCAAATAGAGTACAGGTCTCATTCATTTATCATGTCCTATGATTTCTTTATTTCCTCCTCTGTCTTCCGACTGCCCTCCACTGGAGTTATTTATACATTATTCCCTCCCCCTGTCACCGTCCCTCCCTTCAGCCTCCTGTTGCTCTCCTCCCTCTCTGATTCTCTCTCCATCCCACCGTTCCTTCTTCTCTGAGGTGAGCAATATTCTCAGGAAGGGGTCACATGTACACCAAGCAAATAAAAACACTGTTATCATTCAAATCTGTGTGAGATCATTTCATACAGAAATCAAACAAAAAGAATATGAATTTTGGGGGATTAGTTTTATTGTGATTTTATTTAATTACCCTTTAGCAGTAGCAGGTTATGTATGCGTAATAAATATGCACAGAATACAGTGTTACTTTATTCAAATATTGCATTTTGAATTTTCTCCCGGCTGACAGATGAATTTGGTGGTTTCCTGTTTTTACATGAATAAAGATATTTCCACCTCAAATTAGTGCATACAAATAAGGGGGCCTATTTTAGAGGGGGGGGCAGCTTTACCCTCCCAGCATTATTTCAATAAAGCATTGATGTTTATGTTTTTCACACAGTTGGACCTGGTGTTCTGCTAACAATGGCTGTATTTTTCTGTGTAGTTTTAGACATTTTGTCACTTTGTCAAACTTTTGCTTTCAGCCACTGTCACTGAAAGCAGAGCACTTTTACTTGTATTCCCTTACCAATTTATAATACATTTTGGCCAGTAGTTCTCGCTTCTGGAGCTTTTTGTTTGAGTGAAAGAGCTTCTGTCTCTTAACCTCCCACCTAAGAAAAAAATCATGAAATGTTCCAAAAAGAGTTTATGTATTGGTGCTTCTTGCTGTTATATATACATTTATAGCTGTTTCACCCAGCATTCCCATTATATTAGGAATCACCACAATTTAGAGTGAGACAATTTAGACTTATAAAAAGGTGAAGGCATACTGTGAATCCAGCCCAGCACGTAGTTCATGTATAACCACATCCACAGACTTTATACAAGAATGTTTCATAAGGAATGTTGGAACTGTCAAGATAGTTCCCCTCTCATCCTGCTCTGCGTTGGTGGAAAGCACCGTTTACCACACCGCAACACCATCCGACCACACGAGCTCATACATTAGATGACCAGGGACCTCCATATAAATAAAAGTGCCATTTGGGGGGTGCAACAAAGCAATAAACTATTGAGCTTGTAAAGCGGATCTGGAGCGGAAACGGACGTCTGCTACAGTGTATCATCTTGACCAGTCTGTGAATTTCCGCCCTCCCATGACGCTAACCAATGAGCGGTGGCGGGGTAGCATCCTCCAGGGCCGTCGGAGTTCGCGGGAAACCGGCTATAGTCGAGATACGAAAACGTAATTCGACCCCGGATTACACAACCTCCTTTTGCGCTAAACCAGTGCTTCATTAGGTGACCCATTTCCAACTGTTACGCTTAAAAACCGAGCAGTGACACGGCTTAGAATCGCCGTCTTTCAAGGACCGCCGCCCCGGCTGCTATGCTAACGACGGACGGTTGTTAGCTAGCCTCGGTAGTCTCATTGGCTAACGGGGACGTTGTGCTTCATGCGACAGGACGCAGGAGATACTGCCGGATTGAAGGAGACAAAGGGCTGCTTGCTGTCAGACACGAGCGGACTGTTAACATGTTCGGCTTGGACCGTTTCCGTTTTGACAAGAATGCAGCGACAGCGGCAAATAAAGACCCGGATAAGGGGTCCAAGAGTCCGGAGTCTGAGAAGGAGAACAAGCCAGGTGACTAGCAGATGCTAGGCTATTTTACGACGCTCTTAGCCAGATGTGTCGAATATGCTATCCTTAATTAGCATGGTTCTCGCCGACATGCTATCTTCTGCCGCTGGTCAGAATTACTATTCGCACAGTAATTATTGAGCGACACCAGCTTAATCATTACAGTGAGATGCTGTGCATGTGTTGTAGTGTTAGCTGGGCAATGTTGACAAATCCAAATATCTCCGAATGATGGAAAGGTGATGTTAGAAATTATCTGCATCATTTGAGACTCTCGTTCAGTTCACAGTATTGTGATGAGATCACAACTGTCAATATACGCGCAGCTCTTAACCAAGTAACACATGGTCATAAAGACAGGTGACTGGGAACATGACACCATTTAGTTTTTGATACATGGTCCATTGTATTAAAATTGAAAGTAAGGACAGTTAGATGTGAGGCTGGACATCAACATTTGCCCCAACATATGTATAAATTAGCTGCAAGCATTTCAAATGACAAGACTGCATCCTTATATAATTTTTTTTTTAAATGCATTTCCTTCAACTTGCATGAGATACTATGGTGATCTGTTGTCTGTCCAGCGCAAATGAAAGCGGTCAAACCCACACCAAAGTGCCACGCACGAGGAGTGGTTTTTGAGGAAGTCCTCACGATTGACTTGGAGGACGATGAGCTTGCCTCTGACACAAAGACCAAAACACCATTAAACCGTAAGCCCAAGTAAGTGTAAACGGAAATGCATATTTATTTATTTTTTTCCGAATCCGACCACTTTACAAAATAGTCTTTTGTTCTTTCTGTAGGAATCCTAAAGGGAAGTCATCCAAAAATGCGGCATTGGATCACACCGATGCGGAGGACGATGAACTGAATGACAAAATGAGCAGTATACTGGAGATGTTCCCTCAGTTGACGAGGACAGACCTGCTTGAGGTGAGTCGAGTTGGCGGCTTTGCAACTTGTGAGTATTTAGCGTGACGCCATGGAAATCCCAAAGACAACTTTGCAGGATCCGAAATGTGTTGTTAATCACTGTCCAAGCAACATGATTATACGCCACGTGAGACTAAAATGTTATCGTGATTAAGTATTTCATTTATCTCACAGCCAGCTATCATGTTGGCCTTGTTCATAAAACACACACCCTTTTTTTCTCTGTTCGAAGCATCATGTTCTGTTCACTTTTCAGATCATTGGGAGCACAAGCACATTGGAGGGGGCTGTTGCTGCATGCCTTTTAAGGTTTGGTGATAAAGAAGGTACATCGCTTTCCTTTCAGCACATAATGACACGCCATGCTGTAAAATTCAAAAACATTTAAAATATGGGAAAATATTTCAGTGGAAACCGAGTGTTGAGAATATAAGATTCAAAACGTATTTGGCTACTTTTGACAGCGCTGACTTCTGTCTTTTCAGCCCCAGACCACGGCAGGAAGAGAAAGCTGGATGGATCCAGCAGTTCCCAGGACAGTGCTGAGGCTCAATCCAGCAAGAGGAGCAAGAGGACAGTGGTAGGTTTTAACGCTAACGTCACAGTTTAAAGCGACGGCTTAACATCTAAAAATGTTCAAGATCTGGACATCTTTTCTTTTTTGGAGCAAAAAACCTTTTAGACTGTTTTTTACACTCATCCTGAATCATCTTTATTTAATGAGCTTCTAAGCTATTTTACAAAGATTTTGTAAAATATTTTAAAAATCGTTACACAGACTAAAGTGGTAACTTAACGTGAGCTGATTCCTCATGAAGACTGCAAACTCCTCAAATATTCTAATAAGAAGGATTTGTTGAGGGGGACGAGGTATAAAATCAGTCTGACTATTTTGGATTTGCTTTAAGGTGTTCCCAATAACTTTGTACTCGCCTCGCTTGTATTGAAACCAAAAGGTTTGCGATGAGGACGACGCGGAGCCCAGCTGGGAGAAGCAGGAAGCCATGGTCCGAAGACTGCAGAAAAAGTTTCCCGACCAGGACAAGGAGGTGAGGACGCACAGATACGTCTCCCTGTCTCATGACTCCATTTAACATTTGTTTTTATTCCCATTGAATACAAACAGTTTCTACCCTAAAACTACAACTACATGTATGTGTGACTGAGTTTGTGACGTCACATAATATGATGTTACACAAGTCCCAGAAGCCCTTCTGCTTCAAAAGTTCTTGAGCACAATCCAGAGGAACTTGAGCCGTATTTAATTTTGGCAGTATACTAGAAATAATCGGTATAGAGCGAAGCTCATTTCCTAAATCTTACTGTTTTGATGCAAAAAGCACCTATGGCCCATGTCTTGTAGCTGTCATTAGCAAAACAAGAGTACTTGTCTGCCATCTGTATAAGTTATGTTCAGTATTTGATGAAGTTATATTTGAAATCTTAATGATAGAATTTATCATGTGAATAATTTATTTGTTTTAACATACACTAGTTGTAAGCATCTTATAATACATAATTAGAACTGCATATGCCATATAATCAAAAGTAAATATTAAAATAACCATTCATCTATTTACTGATCATCTTAATTGTCTGTTTAATAATTAATTAACCACCTTAACAAAATATAGGTTTAGTCTTTTATCATTTTTTCCATATCCACTGGCAGTGAGACGGTTGAAATGTTTTTTCTGATCGGTGGTGCTCACAGTGCATGTTGTCATTCCTCTCTTGACGCCTGTCTGCCGGCAGGAGCTGAGGATGGTGCTGCAGGAGCACGAGTGGAATGTTGAGGATGCTCTGCAGGTTCTGCAAATGTTCTCGGACCCAGGTACCAACACTACTGAATCCAGCCGTTTGGTCCCTGGCCTCGTGTGTGCGTGTTTGCTTCGATTACCTTGTCTTTTTCTTTTATTTCAGATGACACCAGTTTCAGCTCGCCCGACACGGAAGAAAAGAAATCCAGTAAATCAAAGAGTAAAGACAATACGAGCCAGAACCACGGGAAGCCGAAGCACCACAAAGATGACACAGACAGTAGACGCAGGAGGATTCAACAGAACCACAGAAACTCTAGTGAATCAGAGGGGAGTGAAGATCATTCAGACGCTACAAAGGACAGTGAAGATTCCGACTTGGACTGCGTCAAGAGTGCAAAGAACACAAGTGGCACTTTGTCCACGTGGCTTAAAAAAAGTTCTGACTCTGTATCGTCATCGACTTCTGTTAAGAAAACCACCACCTCTTCCTCCCTGAAGCCCTCCTCCTCCTCCTCCTCCTCCTCCTCCACTGCTCAGATGCTATCCAGATTTGCCAGTGGGACCAGCATAGCTAAGAAGCAGGCGGCCGAGAGAAAGCGGAAGGCCCGTGACTCCAACGAACACGTCAGTTCCGAGGAGGAAAATGACGCCGAAGAGGAGACGGTGAGCAGTGAGTTTGAGGACTCCGACGAAGAGCTGGATTCCACAGGCGGCATGACCGATCTGAAGAAAGAGATCCTTGACTTCTTCCGCGACGCATCGATTGACGAGCTGTCGCTAATTGCTGGCTGCTCTGTTAAAAAGGCCCAGAAGATTGTGGAGCTGAGGCCCTTTGACAGCTGGCAAAGCCTGGTGAGACAATGTGTGTGTGTGTGCGTGTCTAAAACAATTGAGACCATGAAAACGGGAAGTAGCCGTCATGTAGAGACGAGACATCCTCACCAAGCTGCTGAACGGCAGAACCCTGGAACTAATGTCTCACCTCATGTGTTGTTTTTCAAAACATCTCTCCGTCACAGAGCAAATGTTTTCTGTTATGGTGCATCGTGATCAGACAGGGTGTTGCTTTTCAGCAGTAGGGCGAAGTGATTTAGTGATTCCAATGCCGACATTCTTTCCTCTCCAGGCGGATGCCTTCGTTAAGGACAAGGGACTGTCTGACTCTCTGCTGCTGGGCTGCCGAGTTGTCCTCAAAGAGCGGAAGGTCGTCCTGGGGCTGATGTCCAAATGTAACACCATTTCCTCCAAAATGGTCCGGCAGGTCACTGAGGTGATGGAGAGCGGCACAGGGACCCTGAAACAGCCCGCCCTGCTCAACAGCCAGTGAGTAAAATGCACTTCTAAACCCTCTGGGACTAGAGAGGCGCTCTAGTTCAGTTCAGGAGAGATGAACTGTAGACCGATTCCAACGTTCCAATTGTTTTTCTCAGGCCGCTGTTGTTTGTCTTTCCAGGAACCAGCTGAAACCCTATCAGCTGATTGGTCTGAAGTGGCTGCTGCTTCTAAATGAGCACAAACTGAGTGGTATCCTCGCTGATGAAATGGTAAGGCACCGAGCCTGTGACCTGTGGGAAGTGGTGAGGTTTATACCCCCTCTTGGGGAGGGTTACTAACAAGTACAGGGAAGAAGGACGAAGTGTTCAAAGATAGAGATAGATTTGTTGTCTTGGCCCCAGGACGCTGAGAGAAGTGAGAACTTTGCTTTGTACGGTTCGGTAAAGGTACAGTTCTCCCTGCTGTGACCGTTTGGATTGTCGTATGAAATCCAGATTTGGATTGATATCGAACTGACTCTCCTTCGATCTCTTCTCCAGGGTTTGGGGAAAACTATCCAGGCCATAGCGTTCCTGGCCCAGCTCTACGAGAGGGGAGTAGACGGTCCACACCTCATCACGGTTCCCGCCTCTACATTGGGTAATGATCTCCACTAATCAGACCACACACAGGAGATTCTACGCATAACGTGGTGTCTGAAGTCGTGTCGATGGTTCCACATAATGTTTCTATAACTGCACTTCTCTGGCTGCCTCACCGGTTCCTCTGGTGTATCTAAACTAACAGGTTGGGTGTTCTATTGAGACGACCTTGCGTCTGGTATACTGATTCTGAGCAGCATTTGTTGAGTCACATTCCACCAGGTTACTGACGCCTTCACAACCTTTTTGTGCTTTTACTTCTGCCAGTCTCCACGGCCGTCACAGGGGGGCGCTCACCGCTCGCGCTTCACGCTACACTATGGAGAAAATGTCGTTAACAGTTTAGCATCTGCTTATGCAGACCAGCAGGTGGATTATTACCATCTGGCTATAAACTGCTTTTGTTGTAAAAATACATTTTGCCGTGTGAGGCTTATTTCTTCTTGTCCTTTTAATACTTGCAGTCGCCATCTTTCTGAGCTCGGCGGCCTTTTCCACAAGTAGAGATTCCCTTTGGTGGTGCAAGCTGCTTACTTCAGTCCATACTGTCAGTGCAGTATCCCCTTAATAGGGATATTTACAGTCAGGCTGCAGTATTTAATGCTTCCTCAGTCGATTATTAGTCTGTGATTTATGCTCCTTCTGTCTTGCAGATAACTGGGTCAGAGAGCTGAAGCTGTGGTGTCCCAGCCTCAAGGTTCTCGTCTATTGTGGTATGACTGTTTGTTAATCCGTCCAATACGTCATTCTAAAACGGAACTATCAGGCAGCCACAGCTCTCAAACCGTATAGCGCTCTTCCTCTGTGGCCATCCGGTCACAAAGCCCCATGTTCCCATTTGTTCTACGCAGGATCTGTGGAGGACCGCCGTTACCTCAGACACGACCTCCTCAATGACGACGTTGATTGCAACGTCATTGTGACCACGTGAGCAGACGCACACCTCCCCTCCGTTACTCTTGAGAGACTGCATGGCTTGTCACTACAGGCACATCAGGAGCCTTTAGCTCATTTTTCTTCAGTCTGGCTGGTTCTGACGTTTTGCAGGTATAACATGGCCATAGGAAACGATAGCGACCGCAGCCTTTTCCGTAAGCTGCGTCTGAAGTATGCCGTGTTCGATGAAGGTCACATGCTGAAGAACATGAACTCTCTGCGCTACCGCCACCTCATGGCCATCAACGTTAGTGCACATTTTCTTTGTTTTCGTTCCTCTAACATCTGCCTGTTTCTGTGGTTTCTTCATATCTTTTATAATCATTGTTCCTGCTTTCTGTTAGTATAGAACCAAAATGTTTAAGATGCCCCTTGTCTCTCCCTCCCTCCCGCTGTAGGCAGAGCATCGCTTGCTGCTGACGGGAACTCCTTTACAGAACAACCTCTTAGAGCTGATGTCTCTCCTGAACTTCATCATGCCTTCCATGTTCTCCAGCTCCACCACACAGCTCTCTAAAATGTTTTCTATGGTGAGTCAGACTCGTTGGCTAGATGGATATTTTGATTACTGCAACACTCCTGGTACTTCCTTAAGTAGCATTCTGTGAGAGGACTGCGTCACTCCAACCTCTTATATCGATTGCATCTTCTTGCCTTCCAACTTTAAGTCCCTTTCTAGAAGTATTTATTTAGTACGGAAACAACGACGGCGAATGTTCTTTTCGAGCCAGCCCCAAAACGTCTTAATAGTTCACATTTTTAATTTGCCCATCTGACCAGAGTTTTCTGTCATGTCTCAGAATTCTCACGAGGAGCAGAGCCGCTTTGAGAGGGATCGAATTTCTCAGGCCAAACTCATCATGAAACCTTTTATCCTCAGAAGAGTCAAGAGCGAGGTGAGTTCATAACAGTTTAGATTTCTTGTGTGTGTGTGTGTGTGTGTGTGTGTGTGTGTGTGTGTGTGTGTGTGTGTGTGTGTGTGTGTGTGTGTGTGTGTGTGTACTAACAGATTTGTATAGCAAGTGTGTTCTGGAGCGAAAAGTGGCATAACAAATGATGTACCATCCAACTATGATAAAAACCTGGTGGTAGAATTAATAAAAGTAGTTCAAACCGTATGTATATTTCCCCTTTTCCAGGTCCTCAAGCAGCTGCCAGCCAAGGAAGATAAGGTGGAGTCCTGCCCAATGAGTGAGAAACAGCAGGCTCTCTACCAGACCCTCTTTGACAAACTCAAGGCTTCTACTAATGGCGAGAGTAAGGCTGATACGCTGCTCCCTGTTGTACATCACAGCGTTACTTTCTAGCAGCCACAGAACTGACTAAATTCCCTCATGCATTGTCTTTGCAGAGCGTGAGTTGTGTAATGTGATGATGCAGTTGAGGAAGATGGCCAACCACCCGCTGCTTCACCGGCACTACTACACCACCGAAAAGCTCAAAGCCATGAGCAAACTCATGCTCAAGGTCACATCTTTTCTGCTGGTTTTAATGCCAAATAACTTGCTTGAGGAACAAGGCACTCAAATGACTTTTCCACCTTGAAGTATTTGGATAGTGAGCATTGTATTATCCAAACAAGTGAAAAACAATGAGCATGGAATGTATTCATTTTAGTAATTAGTGCCATCTTTATTGTATACCAACAAGGTAGAGATAACCAAGCTGCACCATATCTCGCGTCTCCTCTTGTTAAATGGTTCCTCTGTTCCTCCCTCCACAGGAGCCAACTCACTTTGATGCAGACGCTGCTCTGATCCAGGAGGACATGGAGGTGATGTCTGACTTTGAGCTGCATCGTCTGTGCAAGCAGTACTCGTCCATCAGCTCCTACCAGCTGGAAAACAATCTCCTGCTTGACTCTGGGAAATTCCATCACCTCACTGAGCTGCTGGCCTCTCACAAGAACAAGGTACATGTGCACAGCCGGGTCTGTGGTTCATGCAGCAGGAGAGCAGAGAAGGTCAACTTTTCTTCCGTCTTCCAGGGAGACCGAGTGGTGCTGTTCAGTCAGTTCACCATGATGCTGGACATTGTGGAGGTGCTGCTGAAACATCTTAAGCATCGTTACGTCAGACTGGATGGGTCAACGCCCATAGCGGACAGGTCAGCGCGGTTCGATACGTTGGAATTAAGTTTTAACCTTCAAGGCAGTGTCATGAGGAAAAACTGCGTAGTTCTCCTCATTACACTGCAACCGTTGCAATGCGATTACTCCCCATATGCATTGAGGCTCAGCTGATGTATTATCTATCTATATATATATATATATTTGAGCTGAAATGCATCTTCCGTTTGAGCTGTTACTTTGAAAAATGATTTCTAATTCAGCCAATGTCAACATAACTCAAATTGTATCATGTGTGATTGTGATTTTCTTTGTCCTGCAGAATTGGGTTGATTGATGAGTACAACACGGATCCGGGCATTTTTGTGTTCCTGTTGTCAACGCGTGCTGGTGGCCTGGGCATCAACCTCACCTCTGCTAACGTTGTCATCCTACATGACATCGACTGCAATCCCTACAACGACAAACAGGCAGAGGACAGATGTCACCGTGTAGGCCAGACCAAGTAAGATAAAACAGGGAAATAATACTGTAATTGCTGGAGTAAATGAAGTGGGGATTTCCAATTTCAAGCCCTCATCTAGTAGAACTCACCCCATAAGAATAATGGACAGAAAACACTCAATGCTGGCAGATTCAGATGGAATTGAAATCTCAAAATAAAACACTGGATGTTGTTGAAAATTGCAGGAACTTTTCAGAACTTTTCAGTTTCAGAACAGTCCTTAATATATTTAAGAACCTGTAGTGACTAACTCACCTCACTGGCTTCCAGGATCGTGAAGGTCATTAAGCTGATCAGTAAGGGCAGTATAGAGGACTGCATGCTGCAGCTGAGCCAGAAGAAGCTAAAGCTGGAGCAGGACATGACTGCTGCTGAAGGTAAGCAGATGTGCACACATGCATACACTTTTCCTGACTGCAGGAAGACAATACCTGTTTTACCAATACCTGATTTGAATTTAAACCAATTTAATTTACAAAACGACAAAAAAGCAGGCTTGATTTGTTTCTGACATGCTGGCCAACAATACGCATGCATTCAAATGTAATCCGTCAAATATGATGTTTGCAGCAGTTAAACAAATTAATTATGTAAAAAAAAAAAACGTTCATCTGTAAGGAACGAGGTCATAGAGACTACAGAGAAAACATCCTAAAAAGCCTAAACCCCTGTGGAAAGGGCCATAATTATTTGTTGATTAAAGTAAGACGGTATTTCTAAAAGTCAAAAGTATAGAGAAGCAGATGTTTGAACCAGATCACTTTTAACATTCTGAATGATTTTCAAATGGGAAACGGTAATACAGCATGATGTGTTTTTTAGGTGGTGAGGGGACCATACCTGAAGATATGGCATCTTTGCTCAAGGCCTCACTGGGACTTTAATCTGCAAACATGGAAACATAACTAACACATTTATGAGGGCATTCCTGGGATTCTGTCTAGACTTGAGTGTTTGAGACCGACCACACACTTTTGTGTCAGTACTGGAAAAGCTACTGCGAACCGTACGCTGCCATGAGAAACAGTTCTGATATTGAGGTGCGACTTACTGTGGAGCACGGCAGCTGTGCCTAAAACACTATTTTTACATGCACACAGTTTTTGCTCCTACTTTTGACGAGATCAATATCTGAAGACCTGACCGTCAATCAGCCTTTTTCCAGTGTAATGCACTCGACGTGTTACTCGAGGATTCTGCTGTAAAAACACGAACTGCCGTTTAGAGGAGTTCAGATAAAGCAGTACGCCGTGCGGCTCTTATGACCAAGGGTCAAACGTTTAAGTTCAATAACCCATGCATACATTTCATTTTTAATTTACACTCTGATAAAAGTACTGTTTGCTGGTAGTTTAATTTCCGCGAAGCGATGCAGTGGTATATTTCTATACCGTCCTTCATAAATTCACATATTGGACAATTGCATTAGACAGTATTTGACAAATTGTATTCTCTGGTAGTGTAAGTGTCTACTTTCATCATATCATAGTGTCTTTTGCGAAGGCAGACTGACGTTTCTAGAGCGAACATCAGTGCGTGTGTGGGTTTGGTCGATAAATTTAGATCACAAAAAGATTGGGTGGGATAAAAAAAAGAATTGCAAAACAAAATGGCAAATATGAATAGACTGTTGAATTTGTTTCTATTCTGGTTCTTCTACTTTAAGACTCTCGAGCTAAGCGACAGAGGTTAAGAAAGCAGCTGCTGCATTCGTACTGTATAATTGGCTTATGTGTTTTAAATGTCAAGTGTAAAAGCTTTTACTCAGTTGTTTGTATGTTAAAGTTCCTATTTGAACTGAATAATAAAAATTGGAATAAAAGTTTTGTGGTCACGTCTTTAGTGAGTCAGCAGGAGAAGCTGTTAATGAGATGATCTCTTAATCTTTAATCATTTACGAATGATTGATTTTATGGTCAGCTGTTTTGGCTTTAGATTAAAAGACCCACACCGTTTCTTCCCCCGATCAATAGATAATTTAATGGCGTGCTAATTTAAACAAAATTCTAAATAACTAAACGATATAGACCTTTTTAATAATACGGTTCAATTATATTTTAATCTAGAGACTGTCAAATAAAAAATTAAATGGATGTCATTAAATTGCCCCAAATGTACAAAATATGAAACATTTATTTGCTTTTTTTTCTTCACTTCACTGCAAAACTGTTTCCCTTGTGGTCGTCAATGCATTATTTAAATACTCCGTAGTGTCAGGCTTAAGGAAACAAACAACAGTATTCGAAATCTACATCACAATCACTTTATTTTGTAATGTGCAGTGGAAACACAAAGACCTAAACTTTGGTTAGTTAATACTGGAATATCTAGTAATTTACATTAAAAAAAAACAAAAAAAAACTGACTCAACAAATACAGGAATTCGAACCAGTTGAAATGGCCGGGGAAATGATGAGCTGTTAAAAAAAAATCTGACACTTTTTTTTTTTTTACACCATGTTGGAATCTACTCTGCGTTGGGGGAGTACCGTCCACACCTGTAGCCTGTCAGGTGAGCATCACATTTGACGGTGTAGGTGAAATAGAGCACGCCCTTGCTCAGCTGACAGCTCAGCGCGTGGGTTCCTCTCTCGGGGAAGACCACGCATCGACCCGCTACGTCGTTGTAAAACACGTCTCTGTCCCACACCTCGAACCTCAACGCCTGGCCCAGCTCCACCGATCCAAAGTCGTAAGTCACATTCCACAACGGGTCGTTGTCGTTCATCACCGTCTCGGTCTCCTCGTACACGCCGTTGTAGAAGATCTTCACGTACGCGTCCGTTTTGGTGATGCTGTCCGCCCTCAGGCCCGCCGCTCGGTGGATCTCCAGGCCGAGGGTGCCCCTGCCGGCCCGCAGGGGACAGCAGTTGTGGTCCAGGTTGGGAGTCGGGGAGCAGCTGTTGGAACCGGCCCGGTCCTCCTGCAGCTGGTTATCCTTTATATACTCTGTGATGGTGCTCTTCAGGTTAGCGCTGACCCGGGAGTCCTCCACCAGGTGGTGCAGAGGGAAGATGGCGTAAGACACCACGTCGGGGTTCTCGTGCAGGCTGCTCATCCAGTTCTGGTACGCTTCAGATGGGTCCTCCTGGTAGAGGATGTCGGGGAAATACCTCTCCCCACCGATGACCTCAATCTTATGGGTCATGAAGCCCTGGTAGAACCCCATGCTCATGTTACCCTTCAGTAGGTCCTCACACTTGTTGGAGAAGGAGGCATTGCCCGGGAGGAAACCCAGGGCCATTCGTAGTTCAAAATTCAGGCAGTTTTTTATGTCCGACTCTGAGAAACCTTTCAATGTGGCCAGGCAGGTCCTGAAGGCGGTGATCCTCCTCACCTTACCCCCAAGATGGACCTAGCAGACACAGACAACAAAACTAGGGCTGAAAACTGTCATTATCTTATTGTACTGCAGCCGTACCGGGGCAGGACAAGACCACTGACCTGGTGTATGTAGTGTGTGCCATAGGTGTCTATCAGCCGCCTGTAGAGGGCTTTGTTCTGGGTTGTGTTTACGCTCTGTGGGAGTCTCTTTAGGTGCTTCAGGAACTCTGCACTCAACTGGGGATGGTCAGCCAGTCTGTAGCTGGAAAAACAATCAGCATGCGGAGGTTCAGCCGTGACACAATGAGGATATGACCACCGCTCTTGAACAATAAAGAGGATTATAATACGGGTAGATGCAATCCAGCGTTCTGATTGGTTGAGAGTCACGTGGCCCGACATGGCGATAGTACACCATGGGGTTGCGTGGTGAACATGTAAATAGAAAAACCACCTGAGACATCTGCACACATCTGTGACATAGATGTCAATGATACATTGGGTTTCTTTACATGCAGGAGATGTTAATGAAAAAACAAACTCGTCAGCAGATAAAAATAACTTTAATATGAATCCTATAACTGGCATTTCCCCAATAATATCCCTGCTGTCAACATGAACATTTAGATTTTTTTAAACTGCATTTCTTTGCAAAGCCTGATTAGTACAACCGCCTCACCAGTGTTTACCTGTAGTAGGTGCAACTGATTTCATGGGTGGCGAAAGTGGCCTTGTCCACGCTGTGCTGCGAACGGGCAAACTTCGCCAAGTCCGAGCGACTTCCTCCCAGCAGCGCCTTGCCGATGTTCTCCAAACTCAAGCCCATGCCCCAGTTGTTGTTGACCAGGGAGTTGGAGCTCCGCAGCAGGGAGTCCACAGAGTGGTGGAGGGCGCTAGAGAGCTGCTTACTGCAGCGGCTGAGGGGACGCCAGTCGAGCACTGCGGCCGGGAGCCTCTGCACCTGGGGAGGAAAACCACAACGTTGAGCGGGACGCAACTGGGGGAAGAATGCCGGTGTTCTGAGTGTTGTAGCTCTCACCTGTCCTTCCTGGAAGCGGTTCGGACACAGCGTACAGGTGTGGTTGTCGGCCAGATGTGCTTTAACATTTATCACGTAGGCCCCCGTGCGGCGCATCCGCACCACATCGAATCCCTCTCCTGCCAGGTTGTGACCCGGCACAAAGGGGGCTTTCTCACACTCGGCCCCGGAGCCGACCCGACAGCCCCGCACCCTCCAGACCTCCAAGATGACCAGTACGGTCAGTCGGATCACCACGGCGTTGCTCCATGGGTGTCCTCCGGCTTGCATAGTGGCCTTCATGCGACGACACACAAGGGGAAGAGAAAAAAAGTCGGTTAGTTTTACTTCCTAGCTGCAAAGCGAGTGGAGTGTCTGATATGGAGCCTGTCGCCGGTGGGTTTACGGCTTTTCTACAGGCTGACCAGTGAAAATAGCAAACTGACTATCATAAGCAAATGTTTGTTTCACAGTAAAATGGATGAGCTTTTAATCCTCTCTGCTTTATAAAGCTCGAGTAATCCTGACACAGATGTGTCCACCCTAAAAATGTGCATAAACAGACACAGCGCCGCAGCATAGACGTGCACTCTCACCTTATTCTGTGTACCAGCACTGTGTCCTTCAGACTGTGTCCTCGTCTTCTTTTGCCTGCTGAAATTCCTCTCTAGGTATTAACAGCCAAGAAAAACACATCGGTCGTGCCGCTCTCTTTTTACCAACCCCATCGACGGCGAAGCTCCCCGTAAAAGATGGGCTGCTAACGACTGGGCTCTTGATCCTGCTGGAAATGAAATCCCAGTTGCGGGAGCTTTGGCTTCACTGGCAAGCGGTGCTAAAAGCCCGCTGGGTGCACACTTTTGTTGTTATTCCGCCCGATGGAAAAGACGAAGGGAGGGAGTTCCCTCGCTTCAGGCTGTGTCTCTGTCTCTCTCTGTCTCTTTCTCCCAGCCCAGGCATGAATTTCCTCAGCATGAGTGGGTTTGTTTTCATGTCCATGACCCAGCTCTGTGAAACCATCACAGCTGCGTCTTGTGTGCCTGAACGTGTGTGGGGGAGGGAAGATTCTTTTATAGTCACGAGAGAATAGATGCATATTGGTAAGAGCCATATTTACGGGAAATGGTTGTGCATGCGCATGTGAGCGTGCAGTACATGCGCGTCTGCCTGTTGGAGTGACTGGGTGTGTTTATAATGTCTAAGCCAGCCTTTCTCTGTGCCGATGACCTTACCAGCGCCATGAGGTGGGCTTGGCCGCTGTCCATTTCTGAATGTGGCTGGAATGTTTATGTGGTGCTCTCAGTAATGTTGGGGAAGATAAGGGTTTCTCTGTGCAAGAGGTTTCTTTGTTTTATATAGAGGATCAGTGTTCGCTTTCTTGCCAATTTTAGTAATTTATGCAACTTTAAAGTGTGAGTTAACACGAGCTGTTATTTTACACAAAGTGCGAAACTACTAAACAAAACAGTGTAGATAATTCCAGCCGTTGTGTTTCTGTATTTAACTCAAAGACTTAACTGAATTTATTTATATAAAAGTATGAAAAGTTAGTTACAAGTAAATTATTTTGTGCTGTAGTGCTGACGGAGGGATGGGTGAGACGTACCAAACATGAGAACAATACAAACATGAACACAGATCCATTCAGTTGTCGTAGACCACTTTAATTGGTAGTTAAGCGCAGTGGGATGAGTTCAATTTACATAAACGTAGGAATCTTTTTTTTATTTTAACAGCGTGGGATCAAATGCAAAATGTAGAAAATTATTCATCTAATGCATCTTTTATCAATATGTTGAAGAAAAAAAGGCTTCACACAATGTTAATCAGCTAAAATATAATTATAAAAAACACAGGAAAGTCCTCAAGTTAAACAAAGCATACAGGTTTTCAGATACACACTGTTTTTACACTACATGGTATTATGCATCCTGGCCTCAGGAGAGCAGTGTTGATTCGCTGGCCTTTGAAAGCACTTATGCGTGCAGCTATTTGGGCCTTTCAAAGGCACATGTCTTCAGTCACATTTGTTTGAGCAAAGTACACATTGTGATAACAGGAAAAGAATGTCTCCCAATAAATGGGCTGTAACTATATTTAATTTTAACTAGGTTGGTTTCATGAGCATTGCAAAAGTATGTGGCTAATTAATTCAAAGTACAACTCATTTAAAGGGGCCCATGTATGATAGATTTGTTCCGCTCCCTTTGAGATTCATGACCGGGTGTCTCCGGTGAGAATGAACAAGGAAGTTCAAATCTGAACCGGTTCCTCTATCTCTTGTGGTTGATTATTGAAAGTATTTGTGGACTTTCCAAAATAAGGGAAGGTCCGAGGCACTCTTTTTAGAAGTATTTAATCAGACGTGTATTTATTGGTGAAATACTAAAAGTAAACGTATGTGCTGGTGCATGTTAACATCGTGCTGGGTTACAAAAAGCAACTGAGGAGCACAAGCAGCCGTCCTCAATGTTTTTCTCAAGCCTCATTTTGCTGTTGCTCCCCTTCAACGCAGTCGGCCGCATCCTGTAACGCCTCATAGCCCCTAGCCGTGCCAAAAGCAGACACCCTCCTCCTTCTCTTCACCAGAACTACTGCCACGATCACCACCAGCGCCATTATGCCCATCACCCCAAAAGCTACCCCGGCCTTTTCACCGCTAGACATCTCACTCAGACCTGGGTTAATCTTCCAAACCATTTGCTTGATTTCCTCTGGTTTGGCCAATTTCCACGCCTTGGTCTCCCCCACTCTGATCCAGCTCATATCTCCCTCGGTCATGACCATAACCGTATTTAAGGCTTGCATGGTGACAAGTGGCGGTTTGGTAAACGGTGGCAGACGGATCGGAAGCAGCTGCCCCCCTGTGAACAGTCCCGACTTGACACAGTAAAGAATCTCGCAGCCGTCGCTCACTGCGGCGAGGTGCTGACTGAACTCAGGAGGGCAGCGACGTTGATTTTTTGCCAGCGGGTTGTTTGACTGACAACTGAAGAGGCCTCCAAATGACACCGAGTATCTACTGCCAATTTCGTAGTCCTTACTCACACAGATCATTTGGCCATCCGAGAGCAGCTTTTCTGGAAAGAAGCCCAGGGGACAGCTTTTTGCCTTGGTGACGGGGTTCAGGAGAGATGGGCCGTAGATGCCTCCGAACATGTACCCCGAGTTGTCTGGGGCCTTTCCGCTTACAGAGCACCAGAAGGTGTTGATGCGAGCAGAGCGGACGTGGTAGTTGTCCTGACACACTCGCCGATTGCAATCGAAAAGCCCCAAAAAGCCACAGGAATAGCGGTGGTTGTAGCAGTCGTAGGTCGTGTAACCCTGCTGTCTCACCTCCGATCTCAGTAAATTGGCAGTGTAAGGCAAACTACAGGAAAAGGCCCCTGTTTCGGGGTTCTTCTGGGCCAGGACATCACACAGTGGACCTGCATCTGAGCTGATGTGGATACACTCTTGGTACACGCCAGCAAAACTGAGGTTTGTAGCGGGGCCCTCGCAGGATGCGTCATCGACGTTGGCTTGGAAGTTAAAGTTCTTGGAGTTGACGTCGACGCACCCGGGCCGCGCGTTGACCTTGTAGTAGCGCTCTACGGCCCGACTCACTGCCACAGCCACTTTGCCAACCGTAGGCCGCGGCAGCTCAGGAAGGGTGTTGATGTTTAAAAAGTACTGCAGGGGGAATCCTGATCTATCGATTGCCACCAGGTTGTTCTTGGTACTTTCCTGCCACTTCTGCAGGGTGATTCCAGGATAGAAAGGCGTTCCTCCCTGGCTTTGGATAATGGAGTACTGGATGTTGGACTGATATGTTTGGAGGGAGGAGCTCTTTTGGGCATTTTCACTGCTTATGTCAAACTTGAGTTTGTCAAAAAAGTTGAAGCCTGCTTGTGACTTAATGGAGGAACTCTCCGACACGTCGTCCGACACATAAGAAGAACGTAGGTAGTCTTCCTCCACCAAAGTGGCCCCAGCGTCGACACTGGTGATGACATGGGTTCCGTAGTCCAGCACCATCTTCTCTGCGAGATAGTCTACGTTCCTTGTTTGGTTGTTTTCAATGGCATCGGCTATGTCTTTGACTTGTTGGGCAAAGCGTGTGTCAAGAGTGAAGTCTGGATAAGCCTTGACTGTGTAGATGAAGTTACGAACCTTTGAAGAAAAATATGAAATACATATTACTAATAATAATTGAGTTTGTTTTATTTAGTCTTTACTGCGATATCTATCACATTTTTCTAGAAGCTACAGACAAATAAATAACCTTCTACCTTTCACGTTTACTATTGTTGAAGATGTCTAAACTCAACATTTTCATCAACCGAATCCATCTATCAAAGCAATCCACTGTAGAATAAAACCTTTTACATTTCACATATAAATACTATATATTCAAACAATGTATTCACAAGATTAATTTAACTCAAAATCTACAATCAATGCCACAACTACACGTAGTATTATTCATTCTTTCTTACTTGCACTCTGGCAGTAGTTGAAGAGTCTTTGACTTGATGGGTTTTCATCCTCTGGTTCTCTATTGAAAATTTGCCATTCAGCACCGGGAGGAAGGATACATCCGCATTTATGGAGTTAGACGTAGAGCTTTTCTGCTCCAGCCAGGAGCTGATTATCTCCGAGTTCATCTCCACACCCGTCTGCTTTTTGGGGATGACGAACACCTCATCTGGGATGAGGTAGAGGCCGTCCTCGGTGGTCTGGCACTGGCGGTAGCTCAGGTTCATGACTCGACCCGTGTCCACGTTGCGCAGGTTGTCCCAGCCTCCGCCCGGTAGCACCTCCAGTCCTGGGATGGAGAGGTTGATGGAGGCACGACATTGCCTGAGCCAGTTGGTAGGGCGGCTGATAGGAACCGCAGAGCAGACATGTAGAAGCAAGAGAGCCGGGAGGGTCACTGCTCCCTTCATGATGACTGTGTCTCAGAGGGCTGAGACCAACGACTATGAGGTGCAGACCAAGACGCTCCTCCCCTCGGTTTATCATATGACTAACTGGAAAAGCTGATACAAGTGGGGAAGGATGAGATTTTACTTTCAGTTTTAGGTCTGCTTTTTTTTTTTGAAATATGTAAATGAGTCTACTTACTAGCAGAAAAAAACAAACTCATTCAGACCAAATGTGATTTAACCTGAATACTCTTCCTTAATTATGACGTAGCAGTGACTGTATAACAATTTAAAGGCAATACAATAAAACCTGTGATTAGTTATTGCCGTTGATTTATTGCTCTGCTTTGTGTTTAATTGTTCAAATAGATTTTCCCTGTCATGGGGCCCTGGTTTTTGGTCAAACAATGGTTTTTTGACCACGTCTCTATTCAAAGGGAACTGAAAGCAGATTTAAAAGCAAGATATATTTAACAGGAAGTTGCATGCTTACTTGTTTGTTTCACATGAGTGTGCGACAGCAACTACCCTCAACCTCACTTGACAATCGAGCCTTAAATGGCTTTAAAGCTTACAGGATCTCGGGTGGTATCATTCAGTAAACAGAAAGAAACTGATCCTCATTTTCTCATTTTCATCTTTCAAGTGACTAAATTACTTACAGAAAATACCGTAACAACTCATTTGTAAGAGACGCCATTTTTAAAAGCAGTACAATAGATTTTGACCGCCCTTGAGTAAAGTAACTTCGACATCAATTTTGATCAGTTGTTGCAAACAGACATGTGCGTTTGAAAGGCCCAGACAGTTGCATGCATAGGTGCTTTCTACGGCCCGTGAAGCGTTACTGCTCTCATGAGGCCAGGATGCATAATATCATGTAGTATAAAAACGTTGTATAACCCATCTGAAATACGTTCCTGTGCTTAAAAGAATAAACGGAATGTTCGCCCTCAAAGACTAGAAATTAGTCAAGGAACCGTTGCACGGACCGTTGGGTCACATCACCATTTGTGGGCCTCACAAGAGATGCGTTTTGTATCGTCTTTAAACACTTTGTGTCAGTAGAAAACAGGACCTTCGCTTTCAGCTGTGCACGGAGGAGCACGCGAACAGTCTCCGCGGGTTGACACAAATCGGCACAACACCACTCGACAGGGCTCACGACTGTCTGCTGTTCCTCCAGCGAGTTGATGACGACTGAGTTTGGCCAGTAGATGGCAACACGAAGCCATGCAACCGATGCACTGGGTAATACTTCAGCGTAAGTTGAAAATTCAACATCGTTATATTTGACTCATAGTTAAAATCCCACCTTTTCTGTTCACTCGTGTGAAGTCTGCTCAGAGCAATCACGGTTTCAGCTTCCACCTGAATCCCATCGTTATCTTGGAGGAGGAGTCCCTGGTCTGAAATAACGCAAGCTGGTGTTGAGACCTTTCCATTGTCCCTAGATTGGTTGCATAATGTGTTTACTGAGGAAGGCACTCGCCATAAATGTATAACTTTCAGTTATTACTTTCTCTCAACTTGCAAGCAGCCATCACTCTTTCAAAATCAGCAGCCGTGAGCAGAGCTGAGCCGGCAGCGTAAGATGTTCAAACCTCCTTAGACTTCACACATTTCATTCATACGCTGCACTCATAGCAAAGTGTACTGCTGTTTTTCAATGTGCTCGTGTTGTTGGCCTCGGGCTGAAATAATTACAATTGATTTGATTTGAATGTGTAATGATGTTATGGTCCCTATCATGAGATAATGTTGTAAGTTGTTTTAAGTAATTTTCCACTTTCTGTCAAATTGATTCTATGAGTGGATGACTGGATAAAACAGTCAAACAAAACCACATCACTCTGTTATGAACATTGGTTTAAATGTGGTTTTCACAGGGCGATAAAAGCAAGATGTAGGAAACGAGGAAAAAAAGTACAAGAAATTGAGAACTGCTCCACCTGAAAGAGAAGGAGGGCGACAAGTGAGGGACCGACATGCAGAGGAACCCATGTGTCAACGGAAGACAACAGAAACTTAAAGGCCCCACCAAAAGGTTGAAGAGATTGGACAGAGAGAAAAGGACATGAGCTTTCTTTATTTCCATCATGATTCAGTCTGCCGCCTGGTGGAAGGAACCCAATGAAGATCATGAGAAGGCACCGCTGGAAAGGACAGAGAGAGACACATCATCTCTCTTGAACAGAGCCTCATGGCGCCGTGAAAGGGAGAGTGTCTATTGATCGGTGGGAAAATGCCAGTGGTGCAGAGCATGGAGGAGATCGGCAAGCTTGAAGAACTCGCACTAACGCTGACTTGGACACCTTGGCCTCGCTCAATGAGACACAGTCACCTCTGACGCACAGCGAAGATGGTCTATGGGAATAAACCAGGTGCAAGTTACTGCTATTTAACAGTTGTACTTCTGTAGGTTTGGAGGCCTTTATATTCTGAAAGAGGCACTACATTACATTGAAGATGTGACACTCTGAAGGCATGGCTAAAAAAAAAAAAAAAAACTGAACTGAAAGAATGTTCACATAAAGAAGAGAGTTTCCAGAGAGAGGAAAGCAGCAGGAAGCAGAGGGGGAGAAGGTCTACCAGAAGGTGCTCTCAGGACAAAAAGGGAGAGCTGAGCACAGAAGGAATTCTATGATAAACTACAACAGTCCATAAAGGAGCATTCCAAACCCTTTGAGACTTGGTAGAAGAGAGCACACCAATAGGAAACAGTAATTGAGAGATGCTTATGGATATCAAATAAAAGTTATAGGCAAACAGGAGAGATATCAAACGCTTAAATCCTGCATGTGTTTTTTTTTATGTGTGCTTGAGATAAGAGGAGGAACCCCACCAAACCCGGCTGGTCACACCCATCAAGCCCCACTGTTGGCGGTGATAATGTGCAGCGTTTTTGAAAGAGGCTGGCAACTACAACAGCGGATGTTTGATGATCTAACCGGACTTCTGTCGATTAATGATTTGACAGTTGCGGCCAACGTTGGGGGCGTTTCTATTACACAGAAATTCGCAAACGGCCACACACACACACACACACACACACACACACACACACACACACACACACACACACACACACACACACACACACACACACACACACACACACACGGTGTTTAACATTATTCGTGTTTCACTTTTCGTGCAGTGTGATGTAACGTGTGTGAATACTGATAAACGCAGGAGTCCCCGTGCGTAACGGTGCGTAAAAGCGCCAATTCACAAGGGGAAAAAATCCATTCGGTCCTCCAGTCGCTGTTCCGCATGGAAAAGCAACAGTGAGCAGTAAACTGAAATGTCGAACACTTAAATACATGACATTGTGTGTTATTTTGACAGTCGCACAACTTTGCATTGTGGGATTGTGAGCAGAACCCGTCATGGACCCACGGTTCATATGTTTTCAGAGAAGTCAGTGCCGAGTGACTCATATGTATGTTAGTGGTAAATAATTCTAAGCCTTAGCCTAAATAAGCCTTATTCTGGTGATTCAGGCACAACTGACATCAGTAAAGACTCCATTAGGTTTTGTGTGCAACACACCCGTTCTCACAGAACGAGCGGATATATAAAATGCTACATAATACAGATACGTTGCATATTATTTCTTATTTAAAAGTGAGATGAAATCACACGGACACGTGCTGTAAATGTATATATGTTTATTATATTGAATAAATTGCAATTCAGTTCTTTACAGACCAAATCAGAACAAAATAGAACATCATAAAAACTGCATGCTCAGTGTTTTCAATTTTGGATGAAGCCCGCTGAAGTTCTTGGCAAATATTCGCAGAATGTTGGTCCACAGAGGCGTTTAGGCATCCAGGGTTTGTTGTCACTTCTTAGCAGCAGCGGCTCTGGTCCTGGTGGACTTGGCAGTCCTGCGTTTGGCCCTTTTAGGACTCTTTACGGGACTCTTAGACTTCCTTCTTTTCTTGGGGGACTTCTTGGCAGCTGGAGTGGCATCATCTCCAGCTGCTTTCCTCGGGCTGGTCCTCTTGACCCTTTTTGCCTTCGGCTTCTTTGTCTTCCTCTTCACCGCCGTCTTCCGAGGAGAAGGGGGCTTCTTGTTCAGCCTGAAGGAGCCGGCGGCTCCGGTGCCCTTGGTTTGGACAAGCGATCTACTGGCCACCAGGCGTTTAATGGCGGTGAGGACTCTGGCTTTGTTCGTCACCACGTCGTATCCACCGGCCTTCAAAGCCTTCTTCAGGGCTGCCAGGGACACGCCGCCGCGCTCCGAGGACGCGGACGCGGCCTTCAGGATCCGCTCGGACAGTGTGGGACCCGTTTTCCTCTTCTGAGACTTGGCTCTCTTCCTGGGAGCTTTGGCGGGGGCCGGGGGGAGTGGAACCCTCGCCGCAGAAGACATGGTAACAGCGCTGTGGGCCAGGGGGGCGAGGTAGAGGGATCCGCGGGGAAAGAAGAGGACAGAGTGATGTCTCTGCTTGCCCTTGTTGATAAGGTCACGCGTTATAACGCCCTGATGAGGACCGTGGAGAATGAGTCGCGCCGCCTCAGTGCGCCTCTTCGCCCCAAACGGTGTTAAATCGGTGTTTTCTGCAGCTGGATTATTGGAAACGTCCTGCGTTCCAGGGGGGAAGTTATTATAAAAGGTATAATAATAAGAGTCGTGATTCTATCTAATTTTGTATTGATGTATTAAATTAAATAAGGTAATGTTGTTGTGTAATTCTATGCTGGCAGCTGTGAAGTGTCATTTGAGGCGTGTAATATTTTGAACGTTTAAGCAGCAACAGTCAAGTACCGACTTGTAGCGCTAAATCAGAAAGAAAGAAATATTTCTGAAATAATACCTCAAAAATATGTTTTATTACGGTTGGTTTTGTTAAATGAATTCATGCACAAAAAGCACAGTTACCTTGCGGACTCAGAAGTGAACTCAACCTAAAAATAAACCCATGAAACGACAGGTGTATTTGAAATGTGAGATTAAAAAAACATTATTATAAGTAGTGTCATTTTATATTATACAGAGATATTACTGTAGGCAGACGCATGTTCACTCTGTGAATTGAAAATCGGCCAGAATGAGTTTAACATTTCTTATATTTTTAATTTTAGGTGTGTGCGCGCGCACAAATGTGTGCCGAGGCCGAGGGAGAAGATTGGAAAATGTAGTCGATGCCTTCTTTATAGTGCACAGATATAGAGCCTCCTATTGCACACACACACACACACACACACACACACACACACACACACACACACACACACACACACACTCACTCACTCACTCACTCACTCACTCACTCACTCACTCACTCACTCACTCACTCACTCACGGGACATATTACAACAGAGTGACTACAATTTCAATAAAAAACGCAGGTTTAGATGGTTTGTCTTTTTAAACGTTGTAAAATATCCACAAGTGGTGTTTTCTCTAGATTAATGTGTTTATCTTTATATCCACTTCTAGAGAGGTGACAAGAGAATAATGCAACCATATCAGACTATATAAAGTTATAATGACGGGCCTTATAATCGCCTTTACATAAAGTTTGGATCGGATGTTGTGTTGTCCCCATATTTAAATCTAAACGTTTACCTTCTTGTACCAAAAGTTAAAAGGATTGTTGAAAGATTCTTGCTTTTTGTCTCCAGGCAGTTCCCAATATTTCCTGCTTTTAGGGTTTGAAAAGTACAAGTTCGTTTATATGTGTCACGATTAGAAGAGCAGCGTTACTTATTTTGTGCATCGTCAAACTTGCTAATATGTGAAAAGAGACCATAAAGGCCTCCAAACCTACATAAGTCTAACTGTTTAGTAGCACTAACTTCCACCTGGTTTATTCACATAGTCCTCTTTTGTTGGTGTTAAAGGAGATCACAGGAGATCTTTGTTATTTACTGCTGAGGAGCAGAAGAAATGACTGAATCCACAGATTCACAATTCCTGCTGCACGACCTCGATAAACCACAGGATTGTAGTACAATTGTTGGATCATTGGTAACTTCGGATAAAAATGCTCACCACAGATGGACTGTAGTTTATTTTATTTTTTTCACTTACCAAACAAGCTGATGTGTTCAGATCAGAATGGATCACACTGGAGCACACTAAATGCATTTCAAAGTGTTTTCATAACTCAGTGTCCAAGCGCTCGCACAGCTCCAGGGCCCAACCACAATACAATAACTGCGCAAGTGAAACGCCCTTTCTTGTTGCAATCAAAATGATTGCTGTGTGTAAATGTTTCCCCTCCCCTCGGAGGAAGTGGTGTGTGTGTGTGTGTGTGTGTGTGTGTGTGTGTGTGTGTGTGTGTGTGTGTGTGTGTGTGTGTGTGTGCGTGTGTGCGCGCGCGAGGAGGAGGGGGGTTGTCCGACCTGCTCCGTTACATCTCCTCTCCGAGGCATGTGACCATGTGATCACAGCCACTGCACCCAGACGGAGAACTTGTGACTACAGAGACAGCGAGGGAAGCAGCTGCTTCATCAGGCACCAAGCACTGCCCGCGCCTCCTCTTCGACCTCTTCATCTCCGACGCGCAACATGGACTGCGGGATTTTCACATCCAAGACCGTCCTCCTCTTCCTCAGCCTGGTGTTTTGGGTAAGGCGCGCCGTTGCGGGGACTCGGCTCGGTACGGAGAAATAGTCGCTATTTGTCCGCGTCGTCACCCGACGCACATCTTGGGCTTCTTAATCACCACTCGATCCACTTCCTCATTCTGGCTAAATTGTGATTTATTCGAGATCTGCGCATTAAAATAAAGAAAAGCCAAATGGTTCGTTAAAGGCTGTGGGTAACATTTAGCTGTTATCGGTCAGGCGACCTGAACTCTGACTCATTGGCTAAGTTGGACTGTGTCTGTGTGTGTGTCTGTGTGTGTCTGTGTGTGTGTGTGTGTTGTTCGTGCACATCAGCCAATTCTCCACGTCTCTCTCCAGTGGTCAACAGCCCGGTCAGAGGAAGCGGGTTTGAAAGGAGCTAAACCTTTGTGCCCGTGTGAGGATGATGTCTGTGTGATTTGATTACGGTGAGAGAGAGCTGTGGAAAGAGACACTTCCTCATCGCCAGCCTGCACTCCAAATCTGTGGCCACTTATTTACCCTCATCTCTCGCTTCTGCTTCACAGATGATTCGACTTTAGGCGTCTTTTTCTTGTTTTTCTCACCAGTTCGGCATCACACGACGTGTCCAAACCGTTATGTGACGCACGGCGTAGCAGTAAGGGAAATGTAGTGAGACGCCTCATTGGTTTTACCAAACAAGTAGGTCAAAGCTTTAAACGCGACTGGATTGTTTTGTCAAACAGCTCCGATGTGTAGCCTGTTAATCTAAACAAGGTACATCATGTTTGGAATCCAAGGGTGAGGAGGCCCGGAGTCCAACCGGCACGCCGGATTTTAGTTTGGTTTGCTTTTTTTGCGTCATTTTCTTGTCGGCGTCACCATCATCCCTGAGGTTCTTACTGTGTCAACGATGCCAAGCGTTAGTGCTGGTCTACAAACAAGCACACCCTTTGAACAAGGTCATCTGTGATTTGGGTTTTGGAGACTTGTTGGGAATGTTTCATTGTTTTTTAAATTCGAACAAAGCATCAAGTTATGCTTTAAGTCTATTCCCTCCCATCCTTACTAAAAACATGTCAAGCCCCTCGAAACTTCTGCTTATTTAAAATGTATGTAATTTAAGGCAAAGATTAAAAGTTCAAAGGTCAACGTTTTATGAATGTTTGGAAGCACATGAGCAGAAATATCATGTCCTGCTTTCTCTCCCAAGTTTGACTAAACCCCCTCGAATTTGGTCTCTGGTACCATACTGGCACGTCTTTCACGCAGGGTCCCGCTAAAAAAAATCCCGGGGGGGGGCGTCGCCTCAGAGGTTTCTCACATTCCACAGAGGAACGGCACCGTGCACGGCCGCTGGAAGCGGTTTAAGCCTCTTTGTGCCGCCTCTTAGGCACAGGATCAGAATTTCTGGAAAGATTAGGGGTGATCGGTGGAATGGAGGGGGGGGTTGTTAAAAACCCCACTGGGATCCCGTGACCAGCGAGTGATTAAGAGAAGTGAGTCATGAGGCTGAAGTGGAGGATGAATGATTGTAAGGTCACACATAACACACACACACACACACACACGGGAACAAAGAGAAGTACACAATCCGTTACCCGCGTCCCGCTAAAGGGGAAATGAGACTGGAAATGACGCCAAAGGGGGACTCCTGACTTTAAAAAGCATAGGACAGCACAGTGGTATTTTTGATCACACTTTTTCCGTCCAGCTTGCAGATGTACCTCATAACATATTCTAGCTGAATATGATATTTAACACAAACAGTTCTAGTATGCTATAATCCCATTGTGTTATTTATGTAGTTTTTTGCTGTTATTTCCCCCTGTTCGACTTGTGTTTCAATACAAGTTTTAAAAAGAAAAGAAAAGTAAAGTCAAGAGTGCTGCTGATAAGATAAATACGTCTGTTGTGTTCACTCGTCTCTTTACTTACAGTTACAGTGTAGCTTCGACCGTTGAGACACTTTGAGGTTCTTCAAAAGTAGAATTGAATCACTTTACAATGAAAGCAGCAATCTGTTTCAAAACGGAGGTGTTCTCACAAAACTCGCCAACCAACGCGTACGTCTTGTGATTGGTGAGCACGCCGCCGAGGAAAGAAAAGCATAACGCAATGCTTTTCTTATCTGAAAGGGCATCAGTGACCTTCGCACCCTGTGTTCGTCACGTGGACTCACAGCAGATTATATTGGGAGAACAAATCTCTCTGTGCTTCATCTTTCAACAAACACGTTTCCAACAACAACACAGACAGAGAAAAACAGATAATCGGACCACTTCAGTTATGTAAATGTGCTTCATTTTGTTAAATGTCAAGATTAAGTTGAAAAAAAGCATTTTGGGCTCCGCTTTTTACTGATTACACGTGTAAAAGAAGCTTTCTGATCTCGACGCCAACGTGTTCGATGTTCATTTTCACCATAAACATATTGGTGCATTTTTAAATTGCGAGTTGACGCCTTGATGGGTAACGTATGTGGTTTCTCCTCCCGGCAGGTTGCAGGAGCTGCGTTGGCCTACGTGGGTGCCTACGTGATCAGGAGCTATGACTCTTTCGACAGTTTCATTCAGGACAAATACACCTTGGTGCCAGCAGCGATCATCATTGGCATCAGCGTGATGATGTTCATCTTTGGTCTGGTGGGATGCTGCGCCACACTGCGCGAGTCCAAAGTCGGCCTTAGTTTCGTAAGTGTGTTTCAGTGCTTACGGGCTGCTGTTTCTCCTCTCAGTTTTGTTTTACCTACTCCATTTTCTCCTTTCTCTCTCTCTCTCTCTCTCTCTCTCTCTCTCTCTCTCTCTCTCTCTCTCGCTGCAGTTCTTTCTGATCATCATGGGGATGTTTGCAGCGGAAGTGGCTGCTCTGGTATTTAGCTTTATCTACCAAGGAAAGGTGAGTCGCACATACGTGTTGTCTGCCACGCAATCAGATCTCTTTTTGAAGCCCACTTAGTAATTTTACATGTATTTGAAACAGGCAAAACTGTTCAGTACATATCAAAGCTTTCCAATTGAATACTTGAGCAAATAAATAGACAAACGTCAATGATGTTGTAATTTGCATGAGAAATAATGAAAAAGAATAACATTGGTCATGCATAATATTCATCCAAAATCTTTATGACCCAGATGTACGTTATATGCATCGCTGACACCAGTAAAGCACCTTAAGTAACTCCACTTCATAGACACAAACCTGCAGGGTGGTTGTACAGACTAACTGGCTGGATGTTTGCTGATAGCAGGACGCTAGAAGTGGAATCTCCAATGTCTAAGATGTGCTTTATTCTCCCGTCTCTCCAGATAAAGGCAGACCTGGAGCGCTCAATGAATGACGTCTTCATGAAGTATGATGGACAGGGCGCAGATACCGAGGCTGTGGACTACCTGCAGGCTCAGGTTGGTGTCATATTCCTCCGTCTATAAATAGCTCTGCTTTCTCCGTACTCTCAGTCTCTTAGAGCTCTTGGGTTTGCATTCTCCCCTTGCATGCTTTCATTTCCTGCTCTTTCATTTGTCTCCCCAGTGTCGCTCTCTCTCTCTCGCCTTTTAGAACACCGACACTAAAACACAGTGCACCGTTTGTTTAGTTGGTCATGTGTCTGTTTCGTCACTGGCTGGTTCTGTATTTCACTATCACAGTGCGTGCTAAAAGAATATTGTGTTATGTTGCCAAGAGAATATTAAGCAGGTCGAGTGTTTTGGTACAGCGATGACGCAAACTCTCCTGTCTGTCCCCACTCTGTCTCCGTGCAGTTGCAGTGCTGTGGCGTCATGAATTACACCAGCTGGTCCAACACCACCTGGTTTAGCAGCCACAACAACACCGTACCTGCGTCCTGCTGTAAAAACAGCACGGTGTGCACACGCAGGCTGGACCAACCGGACCAGCTTAACACCCAGGTGAGCAATACGGGGACACGCATCCCTCTGTTTGATATGAATACTGAGAGTATGTGCGGGTACACTGAGCTGTTTATTTGGTATTGCTTTAGAAAAGATTTTATCTCCTTCTCCAACTGAGACTCTGAGACTTTGACAGAGGATTTATTTACCATTGAACGCCTTTAGGACTCAAATTATTGAGTCCTAGAAAATCAAACAATATCCCACCACTACGGCATTAAAGAGCCCACTTCAGTCCGATGTTTCTCGATGGTGCACGCAGGGTGCGATCACAGCAGCTGCATGTGTTTCAGGGCTGTGAGGTGAAGCTGGAACGCCTCCTACAGGGTGTGATGGGTTACGCCATGCTGGTCATTCTGGGCTTCGCCATCATCAAGGTAAAGACGGTGACATCCAGTTTACTTTGATTCCCTCTCGTCACAATGCAATGAGCGACGCCTCAATCGCTGCCATGTGTTGTGAATCTACGAGGAAATACTGGTCTTCATATTCTCCTCACATGTTGAATAATCTCTCTCAAATATCTGAAATGACGATGAGAAATCCATTTCATGTCTGATTGCCTCTTGCTTTCTGTTGCAGTTCTTTGGGATGCTGAGCGTTTGTGTGATCACCTGTAAAACCCAGAGGAGCGGCCTACCAGCCTCTGTATGCCTGAGCCGCTTCATGCAGCCGCTTTACCACCTGTTGATTTAGCTTGGAATAGGATTTGCTCAGCAGTGACTCATCCAGGCCCATTAGTGTACAAATATTCATTTTTATTTAAATAATTGCATGTGAAGTGGTGGAAAATGCCTCCACGTGAAGGCGATCTATCCAGAGCATTGCTCCACAAATGAAAGCGGTCTGACTTGTTAAATCACTTTCCTGAATGTGTTTTTCAATTTTTGAGTTATTTTTATTGAAATCTTTCGCTTTAGATATGTTTCATGTCGTTGTGAAGCCCAGGGTCTCTGTACTGCTTCAGTCCAGCTACTTTATTATTCTTCGATAAAGGACTTCAAACTATGTTTTAAGCTTTTTGTGATTGAGACCAAAACAATATATATATATATACACGCACACACACACTAGCATGTTTTATGGTCTGTTAACTGTATTCCTCTTAATGTAACAATTCTATATGAATGACTTTGGTTATGCATATAATGTTTCTAAATTAAACTGGGTGAAAATGTCTCAATAGGTTGGTGCTTGGAGTCACATCCTGACATGTATTGTTTCTTTGACTTCTCTCCGGTCTCTATAAGTGGTCATACTGACAGTTGAGCACATCTATTATGTGCAATTCTGAAATATTGTTTTCCTGGCCTATTCTCAAAAAGCAGGATCCTTTAACAGGAGACCAGTGTTTCGGAGCATCACATGCAACGTGTTATCTCTCTTCTCTTGACTATACTGATAAAGAGGCCCTTCGCGCAGTTTACGGAAGATAGTAGTGTTCATTTAAATGAGCCTCGTCAGGGTTCAGAAACAACATATATGAGAAAACAAAAACCTCATATCTATGCTAATTATTGTCCTAAATCATCCTAGAGCTCTGATGAACCTGTCGACAAGGTTCTGGATTCAACTGAATCCGATAAAAAATCCAGTCTTTCTTCACCTTTTTTAATTTTTGATTAATTCAAACAAGCTATGCGGGAACCTTATCGTCTCCCTCTTCTCCATTCCTAATCCTCGTAATGAATCAAGTGCCATTAGCATCAATGCTGTTGTATGCGTTGTGGCAGTAACAAAGGAAGTCCTGCAGGTGGTGTTAAAGAACTTGCTCTGACTTTAAAGTCAAAACCCTCATTTTCCTGGTGAAGGGGCCTACGGGACAACTACTCTATACAAAAATGAAAAATGAAAAAAACCCATGCAGGATATCAATGGTACACATATATTATTTGCAGAAGCTTGACAAACCACTGAATTATTTAATCTGCTCCACATCAACCAAAGCTATCTACAAGGCGCGTGCTGTACTAATGACCTGAGGTCACTGAGGTAAACGACCCTGCTGTCCCGTCTCAGCCTGTGTCCCTCTCGTATCTCTCTGCTGCATATCTTATTCAGTACTTATCGCTGCTGCTCCGGGCTGTGTTGACATTTAGACAGGCCCGTCCCCTTCAGAGAGGACTCTCGGCACATGTGGGACAAGATAATCTTGTCAACTCCCCGCTTCCTCAAGCTGTCTGTTGCGCCTGTCGGTCTTTCGCTGACATGTCCGTATATATATCGCTGTGTGTGCTCACCTTTTTCCAGCAAAAAAGGATGATTGTGCTCTTTCTCAGTAACGTTCAATATCGTGGATAATACAAATCAGTCTGAGCCGAGCAGTGTTCTTTTTATTTATATGTAACTATTTATCAGTAAATTATTCCAAAACTAGTAAGCTAAAGGCTTACCACAGCATTCTGGCCATAAAAGACAGAGGTTAGTTTCTATGTTTGGGTGTTTTTTTAACTGCTTTCTAATTTCCTTTTTACTTTAATTAAGGTGTAGATATGGGTGGGTGAGAATTTATTGATGTGTTGTGTTTTCCTTGGTATTGGATAAGGTCGTCAAAATCAGAAGGTAAACCAAAGCCTTTGAGAGACAGCTCATACAACTTGCGGAGTTCTCCACCCTTAGGTTCCTGGGATTTATTTTGCGACTATAAAGTTGGAGGACCCTTCCTGCTATATGACCATTTTTTCAAATCCCACACCGGGCTGGTAACACAGTCTTAAACCAACTCCGAAATATCCCTGACATAATATGGTTTATGTTTTGCAATTATAAAAAATATGAAACCGACCTAGTAAGCTACTCAAAGTAAAATGGGTTTCACATTCATGATATGCTCATGATATCATGAGGTGTGAATCAGATTTCCATCTGTTTTAAAGCAACTATTGTTGGGTGAAAACAAACAGACCGTCACATCTCTGGAACAACATTCCTCACGCACTAAGCCAGCTGTTTTCACATGGAAATTTTAGCCAGGCCTCTAATTTATTTATTCCCTTTCCTACTTAGACAGGGATCGGTTGGAGGGAGGTAATCTGAGGAGGACACATACGCGATGCTGCTGCTCACGCGGGGGCTGAAGGCGGATCAACAGGCGGAATGCAAACAAAGTGCGCTGTCAAGGTTTCATTTTGATTGCACCTTCGGGACAGACGCTTCACACATCTTCACGGTCATTGTCATCATACATAAACGTCTACAAAGACTTTTCTCTGACGCAACTGCAACAAAAGTCTCTGACAATTTCCTCTTCACCAAATCGTGTCTTATCTGTTCCAGACAAGAAAAGGTGCCTGGAAGGTATCAAGTCCCTATAAGAGAGCTACACAGTTGTTGTTCATGAGGGGGTGAACATTTTTCTTTAGATTTCTGCATCACTTAATACATCACTGCATCACTTAAATAAAAGTGTCTTAGTGAGATAACAAAGTAAAAAAACGACAATGCAGTCCAGAGGTTGGTGACTGATTAGAGAGTAAATGCTTAATTCTACTGTCACAGTTCCAGCGTCCTCAAAACCACTCAACGCATTCATTTCTTTCTTTTTTGTAAAGATTTTGTTTTCTTTTTTTAAGTTAGAAATCACAAGCAGGGAACACTTTAAACTAATGTCCGCTATTGATCAGGGGCCGCTTGAGAGTGCTGAGTGAGGCGTCAGCAGTCAATGGTTTTATGAAGCAGATGATAAGGCGTGAGTCTCTGCAACCTCAGGTGGTACTCGATCATGCAGCCGTCACCCCGCAACCAAATATGATGCAGTTTTGCTTGGACACTCAAATGGACCCTTCACAAGAGACAATCTCAGACAATACTCATTATTGTTTTAATCTGTGTAATCAAACTGTATTTAAATAAAAGCATATCATCTCTACTTTCACACAAGTAATGTATGACGTATCATCCGTAGACTCTTCTACATTTCGCTTGTACTTTTTGAACACACCTTTATCTCTCATTGGGGGATCCTTTCACATCGTGGGGGCAACTCTCACTATCTATGGGGGGATCTCATGCCTGTCAGGTGGCAGATATGACCAATGCTCAAGTGACGATAATCCATCCAGAAGGACTTTCCTTAAAATCAGTTAAAATCACCCCTCTGACTCATATGTTGCTGCGTTATTTCATCGGTGTATCCGGAGGCATCAAAGTAATGGTGCGCGCGCTGCATCATCCACGATGCAGCGTGCGCGCGCGCGTGTGTGTGAAGCCACAGTATCGGGGTGATCCCTTCCTCCTCCCTTCCTCACGAACCTTCCCCTGACGGCTGCACACAAAAACCGGCTCCTTTTGCAGCGAGAGGGAGAGAGAGAGAGAGAGAGAGAGAGAGAGAGAGAGAGAGAGAGAGAGAGAGAGTGAGAGAGAGAGAGAGATGTGCGACCGCGTTTGACTTTATTCGCTTCCGAGGACGCGTTTCTCTCTCCTCTCTCCCCCCCGGATCTTTGTCTCTGGGCGGCGGGCTGCGGCTGCGTGATGCTCCGGTGAGTCGCTGTCGTGATCGTTCCGTCTTGTTCCGCTTGTTATTCCGCACCGAACAGGCACTGAGTTGGATAAGACAACGTGAAGTCGGGGGGGGCACGGGTCTGTTTGCCGTTGGTGCACTTTTGTTTTCTTGCAGGATTCGGGGCTTTATGACGGAATGGATGCGCTTCATCGTTGTGTTGGAGGGGCGTCGGTGGAGCGTGTTTGGACGCACAAAGGCGGCCGCATGAAGCCAGTGTGCAGGGAGGATGCAGCGGTTCCCATCACAACCAAAAACTGCTCCAAACCCTGTTGGGAAGTAAACTCAATTTAAAAAGGAACAGAGTGAGGAACAGAGTCAGCGTGGAAAAGGATGGAGCCGTCTCTGTTCCCAGCAGTGGCTCTGTGTAGAATACAGTTCAATTTGTCAACCGTAACATTCATTTTTGTATTTATTAATCATTTGAAAATTGGTCTACAGATTGCAAATTAATGCATTTTACTGCACTGCACCGAGGAACTGCAAATTATTTCTTATTTGTAGCACGTATTCTTCTTGCATACCCAGAAGAAATGGGAAAAATAAATGCACAGAGTGAACCCTAAACACCATCTCCAGTGGTTATGCATTATAGATAAAGTTAGCCCAGTGCTTGCGCCTCCCACCCAGCAGCCCGGCCAACGCTTCCCTTCTCTCCGTCTCGGTGCTCTCACCTCACACTATTGCAGCCTCCGCCAGTCAGTCAGTCCGGAGGACGTTAAGATGAACATGGAGTGTGTGGGGAAGTATTTTAAACGCTGTGAGAGACCAGTTAATGAGAGCACATCCCCTGTTTATAGAAAGGCGCAGAGGTAGACGGTTTGTTTTATGGATTGTTTGAGGTTTTACAGCAGGCAAGTAAATGTGTTTGTTTTCTACCACCTTGGACGGACGGAAGTTATGTTGTGTGATGCAAATGGACAAAATGAAACAAGACAAGTGCTGCCATGTACACCCCTCCATCCCTCACACCGTTCCCATATGCTTGGAAATGTCTGAAGCATTATAGTTATTTAAAGCATCATTAATTGAACTAGATTATGCTTTACGTTGTTGGTATACTCTGGGGTTTCACTGCCATTCAGTGTTACGCAATGAAAACACAATGAACTCTCCTGCCACAGACTCTGTTTTGTTGCTGTGCTAATTTCATCCTTATCCTCTCAAGTTCACCCCAGTTTCCTCTCTTCCTCCCCAGCAGCACCAGCAGTGGCGACAGCAGATTGAGCGACTTGACTAATAGCAGCACCTCTGCACGGTGACCACCATCTGATGCTGAAATCCCGACATTAATGAGGAAGCCGATCGCCAAGGGTGTTCAAACACATGTGCACATGCACGCACGGAGAGCACAGCGCCCCCGGGATTTTCCCCCTGCTGTCCATGTTGAACTTTGTCTGACGGGCTGGTATCATGGAAGAAGAGGATGAATCACACAACACCCGGCCCCTTACTGCTGCCTCAGCGTTGAAGGCAAAGACGGGTCAACGGGGATTACAGATGTATAACTAACACGGACGAGAGAGCGGGAGAGAAGAGTGCAGAGCCGCTGCCTGCTGCTATCGTGTGATACATCTACACATGTAAGAGACACAAAGAGGGATGTTTCTATGGATACCCCTGCCCCGGGTAACCTGACTGTCTCCTCCGTGTGAAGAAAACACAGTAGGAGATGAGAAGGGCATTGCTACAGCAGACTACAGAAAGATATCACCCAGCGTCAAGAGGAAAATGTTAAAGGAAAAAGCTTTCTTTTACCTTTACACTTGCACTAAACACCCCAAATGCTGTTATGTGATTCCCAGTGGATCCTCAGCTTGAAAGGCTGAGGAATCTACCGGCGCCCACAAAGGACAGGAAGAGGAGGTGAAGACGATGCACAAAGACACTACCTAGGCTTGAAGGAAATAGCTCATTTTTGAAAAACTTACTTGCTATATTTAGTTCAGCTGGAAATATTCTGCCCTAAATCTGAGTAAACCAATCCTACGCAAACGTTTGCAGGCCCCCAAAAAACAGCCACCACCTCTCACCGGATGAATTGTGGTACTGAATTTGGGAGGTGTGTAATGAGAACATATATCTCCCTCATATATTTGCACCAGCTGTAGAGAAAATGTAGTCTTTAGTTGATGTTCTGGACTCACCAGATACAACAAAGCACATTTAATCCAGATATTGTGGAGATCCGTCAAGCTTGAGGTACCTGGAATCAATCCCTGAATCTGTCCGCAACACTTTCACACTGAGCCATCATGGCCAGACAGGACGTCTTCCTTCACGGCTTTGACCTGGGCGGTCACTTTGTCGACCTTCGACCTCTTGGCACCGGTGTAACAGGCGTGGTTCTCTCTGCCGTTGACCAGCGCAGCGGTCAGCGCGTGGCAATCAAAAAGCTGGCGATGCGAGACGCCGTGGCGGTGAAACACGCCCTGCGCGAGGTCAAAATCACCCGCCGGCTGCACCACGAAAATGTGGTGAGCGTCCATGAGGTTTTGGCGCCGTACGGACAGCCGCTCCCCGGGGACCCCAGCCAGCTGAGTGCCCTGTACATCGTCCAGGAATGCATGGAGACGGACCTGGCTCGGCTGCTGGAACAAGGGCCGCTGACCACAGGTATAGGTTGTTTTATATTTAGACATTTATATTACAACTCTATTTACTCTATAGGATGCCCCTACATGTGAAACATTACTGTTTTGTTGCTGCGCTGCTGGCTTTGTTTGCACTGCGAATTATTGGATTTTAAGGCTTACGCTTACTGAAACAGTCACTATTCACACACACATTTGAAAATCACAATTTTGATTTTTGCGTTCAGCTAGTTTGTTTTCCTTTTCGTAAACATGCTTGCTGAGTAATGCAAGGATACAAATACAAATCATTTTGACACACGTGTAAGAGCATTACACTTTTGCCAAAATCCACAAGTCATTACCTAAAACGGGCTCCTTTCCTTTGCATGTTGTCCCACAAACTAGTTGTAATAAGTATCGCGTCACGCGTGACAATGTAAGTGCTGAAGGGTGTCCTGACATTTCTGTCCTTCAACAGGTCACGCCACTCTGCTGTTCTACCAGCTGCTCAGGGGACTGAAGTTCATCCACTCGGCTAACGTCCTGCACAGAGACCTGAAGCCTGCCAACATATTCATCAACACAGATCAACTGCTGCTCAAGGTTGGAGACTTCGGCCTGGCCAGGATCGTCGACCCGCATTATTCGCACAAGGTAAGAGGGGAAGGAAACCTTCCACTCAATCACATACTGGAATGATGATTTTATAGTCATAGGAATACACGTTTAGAATAATCAGCAACACTTGTACAAACATGTTCAGTCTAAATACAAAATGCGAAATGCTGAAATGAGCCAAATGTTTTGACCAGAGAATAAATGTCTGTGATCATTATTCTCTTTAGGCGCATGATTTCCTAAGAAGTTTCATATTGATTCAATTGAATCCATAATCTTCAGAAAACAAGCATCAAGTATTTGTGTCCACGTGACATTGTCTGCATTATCTTTCTTGATGATACTTGCTAAAATCAATATTCTTTTCAATATTCAAGCTGGGACATGTTTGCTGTTATCAGGGGAGAGATACTAACTCAGACAGTAGTGCAACAATCCTTTTCATTGTGTAACAGTGGCAACACTGTAGGATTGGAAACTATCGCCAAATAATCAACCTATAGAAAATCAGTAAATTCACACATATGTTTTGCCCACATCACAGTGGACACGTGGAATAATTGATAATAATTGATCCCCCGGCGTCCACTCGGGTGACATCTAACACACAATCAGTCTGATTCTGACAAAGATTCGGATTCTAAAAAGCTTACTGCCTCCCTAAAAACAGCCAGTACAAAATCTCAAACCATAAACTGAAACGTGTTTTTGGTGTGACGCCTTCGCCTTTTAGAAGGATTATACCTGTTGCGATTTCTGTACAGTTCACGTCTTTTTTTCCATCACTGGTATCTGTGATTACACTCCGTCCTCCGTACCAAGCGCTGCCATGACATTAACATCTTCTCGACTAGCTGGGTTTCAGCTTTTGTCATCATCAAACATCAACACGATTAGACTAGTCTATTGTACGCAGAGGGATTGATGTGACATTTCACTGCTCTATTGTGCTGCTTTGTTATGGGCAGGATATGTGCGTGTGTGGGGGGTTTGTGCGTTTTTTTGGGGGCTTGTTTACATGAAAAGGAGCTCTTGCGAAAGGCGGTCTTTGTCAGCTTGGATCACGGGACTTGGGATCAGCTGGATGCGCACAGGAGGGGTGTCTGGAGGGGGTGGGGGGGGGGGGGGGGGGGGAGGGGAGGGGGGCAGGGAGGGCAGAGAACAGATGAGGAGTCCGGGGGAGAAATACGTAGTAGTCATGGAGGGGTGAAAGGAGGGCAGGTGGAGGGTTAAGGGCCAGAGAGAGAAGGAGGGTGAGGGGCAAGAAATACATGAAAGGGAGAAAGAGTGAGGGGGACAAAAGGAAGCTTGTGTCTCAGGGACAAGGTTTAATTCTCACTTTGGTCCCCTGTGTGTGTGTGTGTGTGTGTGTGTGTGTGTGTGTGTGTGTGCATATTATGCTCTCATGTTGTGCACCACCTTACAGAGGACACAATGTTCAGACTACCGCACTGTTGCAAGATAGCTATGTCAGATATAAGGATGGATAAGAAAGCGACGAGCTCTACAATTACATCTTAAAATGTGTCCGTCTTGTGCATATCTCATGCCTATAAACGTGCATAATTCACTTGACGCTATTGATGAGTGCTGCGTCGCGGCTCCTTCAGATACTGTTTCTCTTTTGTCTGGTGCTGCGGTATCATCTTCTTCCCTTTTGAGACGCCGGCCTCAAAGCTTTGATGAAAGGGATGCATTAATAAGCAATAAGAGTGCAGGCTGCACATTACATTCTAATTTTAAACTGCTGACGTGGTTTGAATTGTTTCTGCGTTGCCCCTTGAAAGTTAGTTAGGAGGCTGTCCCAGCTGATGAGTCTATAAGAGATCAGTTTGTCATTGTTCGTTAGCGTTAGGATTGTATTACCGGGGTGTGTGCATGACGATGGATGTGTAATATAATGCTGGCTCATTTGCGATGCAGTGTCGACACCAAAGCAGATGCCCTGCAGTGAATGTGCCAGCATCCTCGCTCTAATTTAATAATGCAGAACCAAAAGGAATGTGATAAGTAACGTGGGAAGTATTGACTTCAGCCGTGACGGGAAGTTCACAGATAATGTACATTTTCATGTGTGGCCACTAAACAGGATTGGTTGTTCTTTTTCTTTGTCTCGTTAGAGACAACCAATTAACGAATGTTTAATATTCATGTTATTTCAACTTTTTCTCAGTGCTTTCACGGTATCTTTCACACTTGCACAGTGTGCCGTTGAGGTGGACTGAGGCTGTTTGACGAGCCGCTCAGGAAAGCGCCTCTCACAGGCAAACATTTACTCACACAAAAAGAGACTGCTGAAAGGTTGAGAGGAAAGAGAGACGGGCAACAGAGGCAGAGTAAACATCTTTTGTGATGTCGTTTTCTGTCAGCGCCAGCAGGAACTCGCAGGACGCGTGTGTCAATGACTACTGCTGAGGCAGCGCGGGATCGGCCCAGAAATTATTAATGACCGGGATGAAGGAGGGAAAGGAGAGAAAAGGGGGAGAGAGGAAAGAGTATTGGAAAGAATTATTATGGAGGCAAGTGAGGGGCAGAAAAGTTGAGCAGGTATAAACAAGTAAAAGGTGTAAATGAGCAGAGTTGAGATGTATCTGACAAGAAGAGAGGGAGGGATGAAAAAGGTGAGAAAGGAGGTGAAGTGTGGGAGGAAAAATCTGAGCGATGGAGTGAAGTGTGAAGAAAGAGGACGTGTAGCAGAGACAGTCGTAGCTGAAGGTGACACAGAAAAACACTGAGATGGGTTGAGATGAATGCAACGGAAGGAAAGGGGGAGACGGGGGGGAATAAGTTTGGGAGGAAGGGAAAGAAGAGAAGCAAGAGAACAACATGTTATAATAGCAAATAGCTGTGAGTAGTCGGAACCGGAAATCTGGTATCACATTTGTGCATCGTTTTCTGAAACAGCCCTTTCTTTCTCTTTTTCTTCAATGCGATTTCCAAAGCAGTTTTATGATTAACATCAAACCATTTTCTACCGTTACAACGTTGTCCTACCGACACAGAACACGGTTACTCGTTGGAAGACAGAGCCTATGAAATGCTTCCCGGGACCCAGACGGGAGAGCTCAGGTGTGGAGGCTCATCAGCAAAGAGGGGCAGGCGGAAGACAAGGTCAGCGTGTGTTTGTCAGACCGCCGTTGAGCACTCGGTTTCTGCTCCGTCATCTGCTGGCACGCCGCTGGGCGTGGACGGGGGGGCGCAACTACGGCTCAGCGAGGGGTTCAACTGGGGAGAGCAAAGGAAGAGCAGATGAGCAGGAGTCATCCGTGTTGGCGGCAAAGTGGTGAAAGAGGAGGGAGTGGAGAAAAGTGACAAGTGGAATGATTAATATCAACAACAGGAGAATACGTCTTGTAGATAAATCTGGTTTATATGTGAATACACTCGCCTGTGCTCGGTGTCATGCAGAAGGGGAACCTTTACAAAGGTGAAAGGCACAAGGGAGTGTTGTTGTTGTGTTGTTGGAGCGAGCAGCCCTGATGAAACTCATTAACTCCAGGTCGAGATTGAGCGGAAGGTTTTTGTCTACGTCCATCATTGTAAAGCGGATGTAATGAGGGCTGATGTTTATAGGAAATTTGTCTATGCACCTATTTCTTTCACATATTTCCATAGTCCTGTCTACTCTTAGCCCATATTTGTCCAGCTTTGTCGTCCCTGTCCTATTGTTCTTTCGACCGCAATGCAGAATTCTTGCTGTACATGTGTATGTATACTCACACCATAAATACGTTTCTGCTTCTTATTCTTGCACTCTTACAAAACAAGCTGTCCGTCAAGTGCATGCAGACTTACAGGGAGACCGCTAAATGGTAAGAACTACGAACAAGCCCGTCCGCTGCCGGCGCGTCACTGAGGTGCCGTAACCACAGTAGGCCCGAGCGATTCTGTCGCCCCATCTTTCACCTATTTTTCTCTAACTCCAGCCCTTGCCTCCGTCTCCAGGGCTATCTGTCCGAGGGCCTGGTAACTAAGTGGTATTGTTCTCCCCGTCTGCTCCTGTCCCCAAACAACTATACTAAGGCCATTGACATGTGGGCCGCTGGCTGCATACTGGCTGAGATGCTCACTGGACGCATGCTATTTGCAGGTACCTCCCACTGTTTGTCCAAAAACGTGACCTTGTTGTCCTGCAGGAAAGTCATGAATTTGCTCCCCATTCATTTTTGATGGAGGAATGAAACATGAATACTTCATTAATGTCAGCTGAAACATCTGATTACCAAAAGTCCTGCATGGTCTTTTTCTACCATCTTAGCAATGATAAACACTGACTAAATAAGATTTAAAACAGGCTTCTATGAGGGAATATAGTAACACAATCAAACACATCCTGTGAGTCGGTGGCATCAAGTTAAGGAGAGTTTCTCCATCCGAGTGTCCTTCACCAAACACACGTCATTTTCTTCCATCAAGTTACTTCTTTGCCTGACCGGAATAACAATGACGATAGAGGATTTCTGGCTGTCTGAAGCACATGTAGTGCTTCCTCACAGGCTTTTTTGACCTCCGACCGCCCTCTACACCACAGGAGAGATGGTGCCATGAACTCAGTAGCGCCGTCTGTTCCCTGTGTTCCACAGATGGAGACGTTTGCTTTGCTGTTCACTTAAACACCACCAACGTTTCTTTTATTTACCAAAGGGGGAGAAAAACACTTTCTTTAAAAGACAAAAGCACTGTTTGAATGTTGCTAAGTGGTGAATGTGTTATGCAGTATTATGAATGTGTGCTACAGCACCATCTACTGGTTACCACTGGAAACATTTAAAGGGCAAATCATCACTCTCTCAAATGGGTGTAAAATGATGCTACGCTGAAAGGTTTGTGCGTGTTGCACAGTCAGTGAATTCAAAATGTTTGATCTCCAGTCATCAGTTATCGTAAGTTGTCAGAGAATTGAGCTTCACAGACATCACAACTCAGTTAACATCAACATTATGATAATGAAAATTGGAGATAATTTTCAGAGGATTTAAGTTGTAGGTGTGACTAGAAATTCCACACCTTTGATATTCTACCAGTATTTTAGTCTAAGTGGATCACGTCTTCAATAGATGGATGATTAAAGGGAAAATAAAATAAATGTAATAGCTGTTATATTGGCCCTACATACAGTTTAAGTCATAAACCATTGAAATATTCTGAAATATTTTTGTCTTTTTGCTTGTGTAACTGATCATCTTCTCTCTGCTCGCCTCTGATTGGCCGGTTTCCTCCCCCCAGGAGGTCATGAGCTGGAGCAGATGCAGCTAATTCTCGACACAGTGCCGGTGTTGAGAGAAGAGGACAGACAGGACCTGCTACAGGTGACGCCTCAGTGGCTGCTGCTTGTCCTGTGTCTGCAAACTGATCGATTACATATGGAACGGCTCGTCATTGTTATGTAATGTTTGCAGTCAGTCTAAAAATGATTCAGTCTACAGACAAGGTTCAATGTAAACTCAATTTGTCCATCATGGACTGTGTTTTGCTTTTTTACTTGAATATTTTTACTAACCATATTTAAGTTCCTGCAGTAGATTGTGTTGAAATGTACAAAAAGAAATTGACAGAAGAAATAACCAGAGTGGAATTATTCACGTATTTCTACCTCACTGTCATCCTTTTCCCCAGGTGATGCCTTCATATGTCAGTCATGGATGGAGAGTGAAGAAACCCTTTTCCGAATTGCTTCCTGAATTGGATGCTCAAGGTGAACTGAGTTACTTGAGTTGTGGTAAGAAGAGTAATTCAAGCAGTATAAAACAGAACAGCGAGCAATAAGGGTGAAAAGATACTGAAGACAGCTGCGTCTCTGAGCTGTGAAGGATGAAGGAAGTTCACATTTCATGGACACTAGATTTTATTGCTCTTTCTGCCTCACCGATCCCTTTGCCCTTCTCTCCTCAGCTGTGGACTTCCTTGAGCGCATCTTGACCTTTAACCCCATGGATCGTCTGACCGCCGAAGCGGCGCTATCCCACCCGTTCCTCCGGGAGTACTCCTGTCCAGAGGACGAACCCACCTCATCGCATCCGTTCCGCATCGAGGATGAACTGGAGAACGGTCTCGTCACCGGGCAGAGCCTCAGCAGCAGTCAGGCCTCCAGCATCCATTGGGAGAGGTGTCGATTTTTGTAGTTATGTAGTGAGACACAAGGAACTACATCACAATTATAAACAGCACAGGAAAGTTATTGAAGTTCTTAATACGTCATTTCTGCCCGTTTGCAGGTACAAGAACAGCTTATCGACCGACGTGTCCTGGCAGCTGTCAATGGAGAGGTGTCGCTGCATGCCCTCTGACCTGGGAGACACCACAGAGGATGAGGAGGTGCAGAGAGACCCCCGGGCCAGTACCACCTCACTGTCGGAGGAGGCGCAGGTTGGATGAACTTTGTAATTGCCCCCCCTCCATACCGATTGATCGATGTAACCGTTTTCAACATGAACACATTGTCCTTCTCCATCTATACCTCATATAGGTTGACCCGCGCAAGTATTCCCACAGCAGCTCAGCTGAACGCTTCCTGGAACACTCTCACTCCTCTCTGGAACGGGCCTGCGGTTTGGCTCACGGCGAGCTGGACTGCGGCCGCTCCTGTGACTACAAAGTGGGCTCTCCCTCGTATCTGGACAAAATCGCGTGGAGGGAGGGCAAGCCTCAGCACTACTCAGAGCCCAGGCTGATCCTGGATCTGTCTCATTGGAAGCGTAACACCAGCAGCCTCCCTGTGCCTGCTGAGCCCAGTGAGGAAGAGCTGGGAGAGACGAAGGAGGAGGAAGTAGAAGAGGAGGAAGAGGGAGAGACGGGGGATTTATTCCAGGAGATCTCTCGCTGGGTTGAGAGCACCCAGTTCCGCCTGCACTCCCCCCAGTCCCAGTCAGAGCCGCGTTTACCCTCCTGCTTCACCTCCTCCCCACCTCTCCCCATCTCCCCGACGGACCCCCCGGCTCCAGTCTTCCACCACGCACAAGTTATGCGACAACCGTCAGATGAAGACGACAAACACGGACTGAGTCCGCTTCAACCTGCCGCGTCTCCCTGCAGCTCCCTTCCCTCACTTCTCCCCTCATCTCCCAGCTTTCCGCTTCCTTCCCGGTCACCTCAAACAGCATCTCCCCCCACCTCACCACTCTTTCCTTCCCCAGAATCTCAACCCCTTTCCTCTACTTCCACCGTTTCCCAGCCAGCGGAGGACGACTCCTCGGAATCACTTCCCGTGCAGCAAAGACAGCGGCTGTTCGACCTGGATGTGTTCATATCCCGAGCACTAAAACTGTGCAGGCAGAATAAGGAGAAAGCCGAGGGGAAGAGAGGAAGGGATGGAGGATGGAGAGAAGAGAGCAAACAGACAAATATCAATCGAAAGGTGCCCAGGCTTCCAGAGCACAGGACGCCGCCACCACAGACTCCCAACTCTTGATGTTTCAACTAGAGTATCCACTGTGCATCTACTTGATGGGTAGTTCCTCCAAAGGCTCGGCGTGCTTTAGGGGTTGAATGTGGTTTTTTTGTCACACTTGCAATGACACGTGACTGAGATCAACAATCCTGTAGCTTCGTAAAGCAGGGCTCTAAAGCAATATGAGGTCAGAAAGCAGTCGGATTCAACATAATCAATGATGCTTGGCGTTGCAAATATCTAGGGTCGGTTCTAAATACAAATATTTACAAATCCTTTTAGGATTAATGATTGCGATATTGTGATTTGCATTAATTTGGCAAAGCAAGTCAAAGATGGGTCAGATCATGACCTGATAGCTACTTATTTTGTGACACAAAAATCTGCCTATCTGAACTTGACAATGAGTTTATAAAGGCTATTTTAGACTGGATGACCGTAATAAATTGTGATACTCTCTTAGTTTCTTTGATGTTTGTGTAGAGTTGTAATTATAATGATCCCTTGCCGTGTGACAGTTAGTCAGGGATGACTTTGAAATGTCTGACAGTCTTCCAATTGTGACGTTCCCCGAACAATTACAATGACACAGAAAATGCTTTCAACTAATTTCTCTGAATGTATAAAACAAGAACAAAGTGAAATATGCTGCCCGGTGAACTGTAAGGATTTTATCTGTTGCTATTTTAACAGTCCTGCGACGACATAATGAGCTCCATCACGGCGACAGGCGTTGTAAACTTGTATAAAAGTGTTTACGGCTAAGATATTTCCCAAATGATTCATGCTATTGTGTTTGAGTACTCTTTGGTGAATGTTAGGTTACTGTTTCTGTTTATTTGGAGTTAGTTGTGTATTGTTATAATGTGGACTACATTCGTCCTTAAATTGTTTCATATTCTGTAATCATCATCTGCTTTACACTTAGATGTGTTGCAGACAGTCAGATTTAGGACTATTTTGCTCACTTATTTGTTTGCCACAGAAAGCAGAAAAAGAGAAACTAGATGCTTCACAAGCTTTTTAGGAAATAAATTGTACTCACAACTCAATGCTGCCTGGTTACCATATTAGTATATGGTAAAGGAAATAACCAAAACATTTATTTTTACATACGTTTCTATCAGCATGGTAGACAGCGGACCCCCGGAATGGTATTTATTGTGATGTCTCCCCTTCAATCAGGTAAAAGATACAGTCAGTTATGAGCTGATGTACGCTGTGTAGGCCTGTGCCTTGTGCATTTTCTCAGTCAAGTCCATCTGACGTGCGCTTCACTCCTCATACTGAAATACTGATGGTAAGGTTGTGGAAACGACATCAAACTGGAAAGGATTGATTGATACCTGCTCTAGTGCCAAAAAGCAAAACAGTCCTATTGATGTGTCCCATATTATTTAGCCTAGAAGAAATAGGCTTCCACCAGCCCAGGTTTCACTGTTTGACATGCTGGTGTGCATGTAAGCTGTGCATGGCTGTGCCACAAGGGTCTCATGAAGTCGATCTAAAAGCTTATTTGCACTGTCACTGTAGGCAGCAAGGCCCGGTTGTGAGCTGAGCATCTCTCGTACAACAAAGAATGAGCCAGACGGAGTGATAACAATACAACCTGTAGCAAAGCCAGGTATATTCTTTTGATCCCCAACAAACATTAAGCACATTAGAGTCACTTGCACTTTCAGAAATAGAGCTTTTCCTGAGCACCAACTGAAATGCTGATTTTTATAAATAATTATGCTGTTAGATAATGTTTTTAGATGAATAATCTCTAAGGTACTAATCATACTTGAGCTGGTGTGCTGGACTAACTGATTAAAGTGTTAAAGTGAAAATCTGTTTTAGGATCCATGAAATCCAAGAAGATGAGTGTCACTGAAAGGTAGATTTGTTTGTTTTTTAGTTGTACAGTTTACTCTGCAGGTAACCTAAGCCAGCAATAACAAACAACACAAGCATAGTGTAACACATGTGGCGATTTGTGTGTGTGAAGCAATGTATAAAATGTGCCTCAGCCTCCCTCAATGCTTCCAGCTTGCTGAATGTAATACTCTCCCCCCTGCATGGCTTTCACAAACATTTAAACAACTTACACCTTTGTTCTTACATATCACTTGTTTTGATTAATATTTATTTGGGCTCTTCTCTATTTTGTACTGGTGCGGCCCATCAACCTTTTACTTGAGAAAAGCTTTGAGATCCTTTGCTCAATATTGATTGATAGTATGTCTGTTTGTTTTTGTGTTTTTGTTGAATAATCAATTAAACATTACTTAAACAATTATTTGACCTCACATTTTTTGTTGCTTTCGTTAATGGCCAAGATGATGACAAATATTTCTGAATCCACATAGTCAAGGGTATTTAGTTTTGGTTAATCTAGATATTATATTTTTGATTTAGATACTAGACCACAGAGTTAGAAACCACAGCTCATTTGTAATGTCATTAAACAATGGCCTAGACACAACACAACACAACACTGTTTAAACTTCAGTTTGAAATGAGCCATAAAACTGTATCCCTTAAAGGACCTTTAATGTGTGTTGTGGTTGATTAGTGGTGCATATTCCCAAAAAACACAGATATATTCTTGGTCCAACTGGTAAACGGAACAGCGTGGAAATAAATCCACAAAATAGTAAAATCACGCGGGCATGCCCTCAAAAGGAGAGGACTATCTTTTACAGTACTTACGACAAAACCGCTCCAAATTATATCGCGCTTGTTGCAGTTTTTACGGTAAACATGAAAGAAATACCAGCACGTGATTGGCTGAGGGAGTCTCCTCGACACCTCCTTGCTGCGTTTGTGGCTGCCGTGAGAGGACGAACCAACCAACCAACCTACCAAGCAGTCAGGCAACAGCTTTTATACGCAAAACGCCTGGATAATTATGCTTTAAAAACAGAAACCTATGCGACGCAACTGCATTGCTACGCCACTAAAGGTAAGCCGAGCCGCGCATCTCTCAACAATCCAAAGTTTGCTATAAGTTATAAGAACTTCCCGTTTCTAAACGCCAGCAATGAACGTCAGTGGGCAGGCAGGTCTTAATGAATGACTGCGTGTATGTCACCATGCTAGCACCACCTGGTGATGGAGTAACGGGACTGGCTCTGTTTCACACACCTTGGTGCTGTTGGACGGGGGTTTCTATCTGAAATAACGACGCAGTTGGTCCGTGTTAATGCTAAGCTAGCGTTTGGACCGGTTGCAGTTGTTTGTGTTTGTATATAGCGAGGCTAGCTCATCGGGCTAACTGTCAGTTTGTGCGTGTAACGTTAATTACGTACGTGACGTTACGTTAGTTCGTTACCGTTAGCCGTAACTGAACATGAAAGTAGAAACCGTGAAGAGGAAATGTCTATTTTATTCCCGTGGAGTTGAGCATTAAGCGTAATGAGCTGATAAGACTGCAGGTTTAACCTTTACTTGGCTCTCACTACATTTACGGCATACCGGATGTTTCTATCCATCCTAAACGTACAAGTGGGCAACATTGCTCTCAACCCTTTTTGATACTCAATTAATGAAACTATGGATTTTTAAAAAAAATAATTAAACATGTGCTCCAGTTTTGCTTGATACCAATATGCTCAAATTCCCCTCATAGGATATAAAAAGCTTGTTGGACTAAGACAAGAGGCGTAGGTCACCTAGAGTGCACTGGCTTTCTGTTGGTAAATCATTTATGAAATTAAACTTTATTACATTATGCCTTCTTCAGTCAATACAAATGATTTGATAATAAGACTACCTGTAGACGCAGTAATGCAATATATAATTATCTGGCTGCATCACATCCTCTTTTTTCCCCCCCATACTATTACAGTAAAAAACACTTACTAGTACAACATAGGCCCAATGAGATGTGTTTTCTATCTTTTAAAATATAGTCCTTAAGTGTCTTGAGTTGGGTGTCCAATTTGTGATTTCATACTTTTTGTTCCAAAAGTGAGACACAGTTGTCTCGTTACGGTTTCTTTGCTTCTTACCATTGCAAAAAGTAATTAAATAAGCAATTCATCTGGAGAATCTGAGCATGTTTGCTTCCTCACAGCTGACGTGCTGACAAAGTCCCCTTATGGGGACTTGTATATCAGGCTTAATATGATCAGGAAGCTGAAGCAGATGGATATTTAAAATATAGTTTTACAGTGTAGAACACTGAGATCCATAGAGGCAGCATTAAGGCCGTGCTCCCCTGAATATGAAATAAACAAAGCATCCGTTGGATGTTGGTGCTGTTTGATACCGTCTGGCTTTGATGCTGCTTTTTCAACTTTGTTTCCTGGGTTGTTGTAAGACGGGACTCTGCCAGCTGGCTATGTTTTCTCTAATCAGATTCTCTGGTCAAAAGCGATTTGCACAAAATAACACCTTTTTAGTGCAGCCTCTTAAACTGTTATTTCATGTTTAACGGAAAATCCTCTTCATGGTTTGTTTAACGTCAGTGGTGATTTGTACACTGTGATTACCATTTCCTCATGTATTTGAATTTTAGTAATTTATTTAGCGTTCTACTAGTCTCTCTGCTAAGCTACAGGGAACTAAATTGCAAACTGCATGTGATGACGGTCACGTTGCTGTTCCCCACATAACTTGCTTACAGCTCCAGTTGCATTTCCTCTGGGTCTTGACATTAAGGAAGACCGTCTGCGCTCTGCCTGTGTAATAGAAGAAGTTCAACCCAGAGCCAATGCAGATATCATTTTTAATGTTTCATTTTCCACCCAACAGAGTGATCCTTCACATTTAAATTAATATAATCTAAATAATCAAAACTTCAATATTAGTGTCAAGAAATGCTTATACATATGCATCTACATCTACACAACTATCTACATCCACACTACATTCCTGGACGCACAGCATATCCATATATTGCCAAAGCAGATATTTGCATGTCTAATAGTTAGATAGAGAATATAACACTCCTCTAAAGGACAATAGTGCATGGTTTCTAAATTATATGTGGATATTTAGGTTGGGTTTTTTCCAGCCCATTTGGGTGGGAAAGCAGCATTTACACTGTAGCCTCCTTCTTCACCCACTAGAACACGGCACGGCACAATATAGCTTCCAATCAGCGGTCACATGCATGAAGTAGTCTATAGACAATGATGAGTCTATTTCAGGCCACCAACAGCAGCAACAGCTGCACCCAGATTAGGGGTTCTCAAGTAAAGCAAGCATGTGGCCATCTGTGTTGCTCAAAGATTGTTTTAGGAAATCCTCCCATCAGATTCCGCTTTGTGTATTCCATTGATGAGCTTGTTGTATCTTCTTCCAACAGGTGCGCTCTGTAGATGCCACGTGTGATTTGTGTGATCGTGCAATTGGTGGAGGCCAGTCTTTCAGTCTTTTCTCTCCCTCGACTGTCTCTCTCTCTCTCTCTGCCTTCATGTGTGGCTCTTTGGGAAAAGGATTATGACAATCTTTCCAAGCTTTGTTTCTCAGATCACCCCAAATCACTTCTGTCTGCGTCCAGATTAATGACCAGCCACCGCTGTCAGCATTTGTAATCCTCAAATGCGTTTGTAGGCTTCCATGATTAAGTGTGTGTCAGTAGGCCTACAGTCTTCACCACAGAAAGCCTAATGTCATGCCAGGGCGATAAGGGTGTGACGATGGGATTGGCTCAAAGGTTGTGGCACCAGTGCGGTTCAGGTTTAGACTGTCGAGAACAAGAATAGCTAAACGTTGAAGCAATCTCTTAACAACGCGAGGACACTAAAGGCGTATTTCACATGCATTTGCAGCATAAATTAACACATTTCGCAGAGGATTTTAAATTTTTTTTTTTTGTCTAATTCTTGTGCGACGTGAACTTCACTTGGCCATGTTAATAATAAACTACTGTACGTAGATATTCGGCCCCCCCGGAATAGCTTCTTACCAACCATTTATCATGAATTGTAATCCTCCCAAGCGGGAACATGAGGATGTACCCACAAAACATGAGCTTAGTTTGTCAACTTTGTTTCTCTTTTTCCTTCCTCTGCAGCTTTCCACCAGTGTACTTCCTCGACCAGTGAGTGACCACCATGTTGTCCAGGTTGAAGACAACCCTGTCCCTGAGGCCCTGTGTCTCTCTGTACAGATGGGCACACACCAAAGAGAAGGGCAAGCCCCTCATGCTCAACCCTCGCACCAATAAGGTGAGTGACAGACCGTCCTAGAGGGGCTATAGCCGTGCCAATCCAGTGATGTTGGGAAGTACGCTAATTGGAATAAGCTTTTGAAGTGTGGAAAATCATGTTACTGGATGTGAGATTTCACCACATTCTTTTAATGAATACCGGTGTAACTTGCTCTTAGTTGTCAACCGTTAGTTGACATTTCAGTCTTTAGCTCAGTGGCGATCGCCGACAAAGACTGTAAATCCTACAAATGATTGCTTTCGGGGAATGGGAGCTTTTCGACAATTAAGGTGGACGTGATGAGCGATGTGAATGAATGAGACGGTGCAGGACTCAATGCTGTTTACACGCACGTACAGGGACTATTTTACTGTAGACTACTGAAATGCGATACACAACATTTGGTAGCTAATATTTTGTGCTGAAAAACGACTATTCACTTACTATTTATAATGTTTCTGGTAACTGTATTATAAAACCAATAAGGTGCTTGAGGCAGCACTTTATCATCAAATAATGTAACAGTTCGTTACAACGCCCCAGAACTGTGATTATTGGACGATAAAATACAGCCTCTCGTGCCTGTACTGACTTTAATCACAAGGTTAGTTTGTAGCGGGAATTGTTGCCCTAGTTGGTTTTTGTCTGGTATTTCCAACTTCTGAAAGCTACAACATTGACATTTGAAACATGAGGCTGGAGCTGCCTGAGGTTACTGGATGTTACTTTTCACAGGTTGTGCTTAACTTAGTCTACACCACACATTCCAAACTACATGTCGACTGGCCGGAGGCCAGAGTGGCTGGCTGATAGAACTGCTGTACACACTGTAACCACTTTTCACTTTCAGCCTGATTCCTTATTGCTTATTTTGTCCATTTGGGTCCATTTGGGCATTTTAAATTCACTGCCATAGGCTCTTGCTTGATGCAGTCTCAAGAGTTTTTAAATGCAAGACCAAACCGGCAGCATGCTTCTGTGTTTGCCTGTGCGGATGTGACTCATCAGCAGACTGAATCGTCATAAGTCTTATGACTCATCATACCTCCACACATAAGGCCATAGTGTTGCAGAAATGCATTGTAAATGATATAACACAGTCAACAAGACTGACTGGCTCTGGTCCCACATTCCTCCGCCGAAAGGTCGTTTTGTGGTTGGCAACTAAATAAAACGGTTTTGGTCCAATTTGTGAGCCTGATGGATGATCTCTTTTGGGAAATTTCATTATCACATTATGAGTGATGAACATAAAAGATAGCTTAAACCGATTTATCTCCAATAGAAATGTAGCAATTAAGCTTTTAAACTGCAATTTAAAACCAAATCAGTTTGCTTTTCCTGTTTTGAGATGTTACAATTTAGTTTAAACGGCCAAGTCACAGGATATACAGAAAATATATTAAAGAATCCCGAATAAAGAAAGTACAAGTTTTAGTTTTTTTTTTTTTTTTTTTCAAAATTCAACCAACACTCATTGAAACATTCAATTCCAAGTACCATGAGAAAAACAAAAACTAGATCTGTGTTTTTCAGTATGTTTCATTGTGTTGAGAGGAGCTCGAGCTGAGGGAAGGGAAATGCCCCATCAGCATGACTCAGCATTTTGCCTGGGGAGCCCCTAGCACGCCGAGCCCCAGACATTATGCTTTCCATCTTGTGTCTTTCAGAGGTGGTTTCATAAACCTCATAGGCTGCAGGGTCTCAAAACCTTTTGTACCCCCTTCTCTCTTCAAGGGGCGCCCTCCTTACTGGTTCCTCTGCGGTTACTCCCCTTTCTTACCTCCTTTTTCTTTCTGTTCCCAACTGCAAAAGTTGCTTCCATCTGGTCCCCACCTTTTTATACTGTGCCTCCATGTTAAAGGTCAATAGGTCAGCCTGGAGTGAGGCTGCATGGGTTCTCTGCCCCCTCTGGGGACAAAAATACATCAAGGCATTCCTGCAGCAAACATCTGAACATTGGCTTAGTAATTGTTTTTTATTGTTTATGAGGGGTGATTAGGTAAGCAAGTATGAAACCTTCAAGCCGCACACCCTGCAGCCCAGAGGTGATGAATAAGCTTTATTATTTAAAAATATATACATTCTGTGGCAGGAATACACAACGCAATTTGCTTTTTACTTTTCTTCTTTTTACCAAAAGAAATGTACTGTGATAGCACGCTGGTCTTGGATGCGATTTTTCTTTTTAGCTGCTGTGTGTGGAACTCTTATCATGAGTAGTTTAATACAGGACAGATAGCTACATTCTCTTTGTCCCCCTACTGACACCTCTCTCTTCCGTTGTGGCTTCCTCTAGGGCATGGCCTTCTCTCTATCAGAGCGACAGGTTTTAGGGATTCATGGTCTGTTGCCTCCCAAAGTGGAGACTCAAGACCTTCAGGCAATGCGCTTTCAGAATAATCTCAAGAAGATGACCGATCCCTTACAGAAGTAAGGACGTATTTTGCTGAAAGCATTATGAAGTATAGTCACAGAATGAGTTTTTTCTGTTTTTGTATTTAAGCATTCATTTTTAATGTGTTTGTTCAATATGTTTCAGAAATATCTCCTAACGTCTTCTTTTTCGCCCAGATACATCTACTTGATGGGCATCCAGGAAAGGAACGAGAGGCTTTTCTACAGAGTTTTGATGGAAGACATTGAAGAATTGATGCCGATTGTCTACACTCCCACTGTTGGCCTGGCCTGCACACATTATGGGCACATCTTTCGAAGACCAAAGTAAGCATGCAGTAAAGCTATCAAGAATCAAGTTGTAAAAGACAAAACTGATCAAAGTTCCATTCATAACCCTTGCGTACGCACAAAATATGTCTGAGAGGCATAACCACTTCCCACGTAAAACTTGTGATGTATACACCGGAACCTTCCTGGAGACTACGTGCATCTGTACAGAACCTCTGACGTCCGTACACACGCTGCAGATATTGAGGAATTTAAGTTAGAAGAGATCTTAATACATACAATAAAGCCTTTCACACATTTTTCTTCATAACACACGCTGTAGAACTGCTTTTACCGTAAACCTTCAAACCAGCGTTTTTAGTGCGTACATTGTGTAAATTGCCAAAGTCGGAAAATAAACCTACTTGGCGCTCTTGCGCAATCACTCCTTTTCCTCTATCAGTCTTAATCATAACCAAAACCAAACTTCAATAAATAGTATTCAAGCATGTGACATGCATTGACATTGATAGTCTTTGGATGTTTTGCACTGACCATTTATTGCTGGATGTGGGCATGTAAAGGTGGGATTATTATTATAATATGTATTAAGTATACCTGGGTTCTTACCACTGAACAATAAAAACATTAGTTTGAACTAAAGCGCAACCAAAAATTCAACAAAGCCACTGACCTACAACTTGAACCCAACCAACCACAAAAAACAATCACTAAAAACAAAACCCCACCAACTAAACGAACACAACCAAGACCCGACCAACAACAACACCAGCATTGGTTATGCACAACCAGCCCTGTGTCCCACAGGGCAAAGTCACTGCCCGGGCCACATTTGTTTATTAGTGCAAACTAAATGTCTTACTGATTTGTTACGGTGCTCATCCTATCCTCTTGTTTCTCTCACCAGAGGCCTGTTCATCTCCATTCTGGACAAGGGCCACATTCGTTCCATCCTGGACAACTGGCCCGAGACTAATGTTTCAGTGAGTACATCCCTCTTCAAACCGTAGACTGACCATTTTAGGAATGAGGTGTGAATATAGATGGGGTTAATGAATCAAAATGTCTCTCTGGCTTGGGAGTCTTTCATGTAACCCAGCACAGCACCTGGCAAACATTGTTATTGTTGTTCACAGCTGTGTGCTTGTAAATTGTTTAGTTTAACTCTTTTCCATCTCCCCTTTTCTGTAGGCAGTAGTAGTCACTGACGGAGAGCGTATTTTAGGATTGGGGGACCTGGGTGTATACGGAATGGGCATCCCCGTTGGGAAACTTTGCCTGTACACTGCCTGCGCTGGCATTAGACCTGAGAAATGTCTGCCTGTGGTAATAGATGTTGGCACGAACAATGAGGTAGGATGTGCATATTTTCTCTATATGGCATGCATGTTCGTGCTTTGTGCATCATGCTTTTGTCTTCTCCCTCCAATCAGACTCTCCTCAAGGATCCGCTGTACATGGGCCTGTACCAGGAGCGAGATCGCTCTCAGGCTTACGATGATCTGATTGATGAGTTCATGGAGGCTGTGGTGGAAAAATACGGGCAGGACACACTCATTCAATTCGAGGACTTTGGGAACCACAACGCCTTCCGCTTCCTCAGGAAGTACAGGGAGAAATACTGCACCTTCAATGACGATATCCAAGGTTCACATTCAACCCTTCTCACAGCACATGCCATACAGTTAAACTGAATTAAGTTAGGAAAAGTTCATTTGTTTCATGTTTAGATTAAGTTTCTTCTCTCCAGCCAACAAATAAAATTTGATTAAATCTGAAACTTCCTGGAATCAAATAATATGAACAAGTTGTGACCTTTTTATTTACATTACTGTTGCAACGAAACGCAGATAGAGGCAGGAACCCTTTTGAAAACTCCCTTGTGATTTAGGTCAAGGAACCACCAACTGCTCAGTTGGAACGTACGTCCTTCAGGAGCTAGTTAGTCAGAAAGCCTGATCGAGAACAGCAGGCACAACATGTCTAAATCCTTAAGGGCGCCCTCCTATCTGAACAATGAGGATTTATCAGTCCTCTTCAACGTGATTGTGAGCTGTTGTGTTCTTTGAATGTTTGCAGGCACTGCTGCTGTAGCTCTAGCTGGTCTGTTGGCAGCTCAGAGAGCCATCGGCAAACCGATTACTGAACACCGGGTGCTTTTCCTGGGAGCTGGGGAGGTAAGCTCACCGTTTCTTCATTACTCAGTTAATTAAAGTTATTGGTTTTGCTTTAATTTCCACCTTTTGGCTCTATTTTTCCAACCTATTTGTAAATGTGAAATTTGGATTCATCAAAATAATTTCTATAGCGCATACTGCTCTCTACTGACCAGAGATGGTAATGCCAATAACAAATGATTAGCCAACATTACTTTGAAAGGGTGGAGTTTGCTTTTGCTTATTAGAGAATAAGGTGAATTGTATAAAGGACACTCTGTCCAAGCACTTAAAGTCTAACATAAGTTCTTATTTCCTCCTCAGGCTGCTCTTGGTATTGCCAATCTGATTGTCATGGCCATGATAGAGAAAGGGATGACCCAGGCTGAAGCCAGGGAGAAGATCTGGCTTTACGATAAAGATGGCTTACTAGTAAAGGTTAGTGTTACACAGACGTTGATGTATTATCGATGAACGGAGGTTTCACTACGTCCATGTTTATATTTCCTTTGACACACAATGTGCTGTTTGTGATCGCAGGGCAGATCGCAGGAAACGGACTCTAACCAGGAGGCATTTGTTCATGATAGTCCCGGGACTGTACAGACCTTCCTAGATGCAGTCAACACCTTAAAACCCACGGCTATCATTGGTGAGGAACTGGTAATGTACTGTATTTGTGTTGGTAAAGGCTCACAGGCCAGTTTGGAATACGCTTGGAGCTGTTAATAAATTACAGGAAAAAATCCGTACCATCTTTGTTGTAATGTGGTTTTGATTTATTTTATCTGGATCAGGTGCATTGAAACATGTTTATTTTAAATTTAAAAATATAAAAAAATGAGTGCTGTAATCGCGAGCTCTGCTTATGCAGCATTGATCGATCACAAAAGCAGCCTGACCAGATCTTCACCTCCTCTTCCCTAAATCCAGGTGTGTCAGGAGCCGGCCGTCTGTTCACCCATGACGTCATCAAGACAATGGGAACCTTGAACGAGAGACCAGTTATCTTCGCCCTGAGTAATCCAACCAATAAAGCGGAGTGCACAGCAGAGGACGCCTACACACTCACTGATGTAAACAGCTCCCCCCTTTCTTTCCTTTTGACTAGCTAAAAGGGTCCTTTTGGTTTCCCATGATCACTCTTTAACCCTTTTGTTTCCTTGTCCCCCAGGGTAGATGTCTTTTTGCCAGTGGCAGTCCATTTGGTCCAGTGACTCTGAATGATGGCCGCGTCTACACCCCCGGACAAGGGAACAACGCTTACATCTTCCCTGGTGAAAGAAAAATCTAAATGAATATTTCTAATTTACATTAGTGAGCACACTTACTGAGGTTCCATAAACATACACTCTTATGAATAACCACTGTCTTGTGTTTATTGATTGTTTTCACTCTGTGGGAAAGGATTCAAAGATAAAACCTGTGATGTATGTGCTCTGCAGGTGTGGCCTTGGCCGTGGTCCTGAGTGGAGTGAGACACATCAGTGACACTGTGTTCTTGGAGGCTGCCAAGGTCTGAAGTCATCACTAATTATTTCTGTCGGTCTCCTCGTCAATCTTTCTAAATTCCATCTTTACCTTTCCCCCATCGTGCACGTTCTTGTTGTAATTATCTCTTCACTCTAAAGTGTTTTTAAAAAAAAAACTTTTCCAGACCCTTGCAGAGCAGCTGACCGATAAAGAGCTGAAAGAAGGTAGACTCTACCCTCCTCTCTCTAACATCAGAGAGGTCTCTCTCCAGATGGCTGTCAAGGCAAGTTTCCTGAGTGTAATATATATATAAAATTATTTATTTATTTATTTTTTCTTGCGGGACAAATGAATTATACCCAACTGAATGTTGTGGCTGTTGATAACCTGTTATTGTTAGTCCAAACCTTAACGTGGGTAGCTTCTTCTATCGTCATCTGCTGTACCATTAAGATACTTTCTGTATTTACGGTTTGCACCTGCCCATCATTATTTGTCAATGCTTTCCTTTGCTCTAGGTGGTGGAGTTTGTCTATGCTAACGGTATGGCGTTTCGCTACCCCGAGCCTATGGACAAGGAAGGCTTTGTACGTGCAACTGTGTGGGACACCGAGTACGACTCCTTCGAGCCAGACACCTACGACTGGCCAGGTGTCAACTTCAGCCCCAAGAAGTAACTAGAAGTAGCCCGAGCCTGTGCTCTTTGTTTTCCACTTGCCTCTTAATCATCGTCATAGTTACCTTAGTGCAAACATCTGCTTACAAAAATCAAGCAGTAGAAGACCCTTACTGCTGCCATGCGACTGCATTTGCACTAAATAAGTCTCACAAGAAGTGTGAAATGCTATAGAGGAAGGTGGAATATGAAAGAGGACATTTAAAGGGAAATGGACACTTTCACATCCTGGCTCTTAATCACATTCAAACCAGCACCTGGAGGGTCACCTGGCGGCGGAGGAAGGCAGTGCGGTTATCTGGTCATATTGTTTCAACCCTCAAGCACAGTTTAATGATCTGGAATAATGCAGTGAGATCTTGTCATTAAGCAGCAAAGCAAAACCCTTTAAAAATTGAGTAATTAAACACTGCACACTTTCTCTGGTCATGGAGAAAATAACCACTGTGACTATACATTTCCACAATCTTTCTTTTTAGTCATAACTAACCAGGAAAGAAAAAGTCATAAAAACTATTTTTCACCATTTTAAAAAAGTAGTCCCACCATATTTAATGTAATGATGACTATTATTTGACCATTGTACACTCCTGATTCTGAGGTTAACCTTACAGCTGCTCTGACCATATTCAGCAACCTAGAGATTGGCCAACGTAATGCACTTAAGTATAGTATACAGTTCGGTCATGAAGCAACTTCACTGAGGAGAGAAATGGAGGGAAGATCTAAAGGAATAATGTGAAGGGAATTTAAATTATTATGATATCTAAAAACAGACCAACATCCACTCCAGCATTTCATTTGTTAGGATAATATTGTCATAGTGTATTTATTTTTCTGAATTGTTCTTGGAAGTGTATTTAGATGTGTTGCTCTTGTACTGTAAGTTCTATTAGAAACTTTCTGTGGTAAGAATTCATACCTGGAAAACCACCCTTTTGATATATGCGATGTACAAATTAAACATGAACAATAGTCATACATTTAAAAAAAAAAAAAAGGAACTTCACGGTTAAACAGAATGGATAAACGATATATTTTATTGTAATGGTATTTTGTCTATTGTACACACACTTTTGTAGAACCTGAGATGTGAGTGATTATAAAGTTGTGTTTATTACATCCATGTTTGTTTTGACAGGTTGATGTGAGAGTTTCTAATTGGAAACATATCCAACAAAACATTTAAATGCTAGGCCTCTATTCACTGTTCTGTTATTTGATCATTAATAACTATTGACACTAACAGTTAGATTAACACAGGAAAGAGAATCCAAATTCCACCGTAGGCATGTTCATATGTATAGAAGGAATTAAGGAAACCACAAACCAATAAACATGAAGATAAAAATATTTAATAGAAAAACATAACCGTAAATTAATCATAAATGTAAATTAATCATAAATAAATGTAACAAAAGGCAAATGTGAGTAGAAACATGTTCTGCCTAAATTCTCCAGTAGTTTGTTGTATTAACTTTATAATATTCAATTATATTTTTCTATTCCACAACTGAACACAACCAGTTGTCAATAGAATGTGCTCCACATTCTTTATTGTTGCTCTGTGCTCCAGTGTATTACAGAGGGTGATCCAAAGAAAAGGGTTTGATGTGAAATCTTAGACGTGGGAAACTAACCATATATACTGAACACAAACCAATTTACACACCCATGCAGCTAAAATGTGAAATATTAACCAGTTGCATTAAGACTACTTCAATCAAGGGCGTTGACAGAGTCAAGCGTGTCAGTCTATGCTTCAAGTAACTGTACACTGTTTAGTGTTTGTTGATGCCTGATGCTGAAGGCAGAGCTGAGAAACTACTCAACAGCACTAAACGTAAAACAAAAGCTTTTTGTCTTTTTCAAAATTATTTTAAGTATTTGATGTGCAGATAGACACTTTCCGGATGTAAACCCACTCTGTATTTAAACTTTTGTACACGTTTTTAAGTAGTGCAATAGTTTTATTTCAAAGAAATCGTTAAACCTCATTAAGTGTTTGCTTGCGTGCCTATCCAGAGGTTCCCGTCCATGACTCATCGTCCAGTGTGAGTTTTACTTGTGTAAGAATTGGGTGAGTTTTTTTTGCTGTATTCATGCAGGGCCGTTTGTTTTAAATGGTTTCCGAAGTTTATTTTTGTCGCCCGATTATATTGCCTTAGTGCTTGTAAGCAAAGCGAATACCAATGTTCCGAATAAAGTTTTGCCCTGGCTCCTTTTTGACTGCAGATTCTATTTTAAACTGGAGTTAAACATTAAGGCACGTGTTATATTTGTTTACAAAAACAGCATGTTCTCTGCCACGCTACAGTTTAACACACATGTATCGAGTTCTCGAAAATCTAACTCTGCGTAAACGCCGCACCGTCGCTCATCCCCGCGTCATCACAGTGCGACTGTTTACATTGCGCTCCTCCGCTGCAGCAGCAGCAGCACCACCTGCACACCGGTTCCCCCCGAATTCCCCCGTCGTCTCGTCCTCGGGAGGATGACTATGGACGTGACCTTCCTCGGGACCGGCTCGGCCTACCCGTCTCCGCACCGCGGGGCGTCGGCGCTGGTGCTGCGGACCGAGGGGGAGTGCTGGCTGTTCGACTGCGGGGAGGGAACCCAGACGCAGCTGATGAAGAGCCCGCTCAGAGCCGGTGGGTCTCTTTTTTTTTTTAAACGTGTCGGTGAATCCAAAACGAGCTCCTGAAAAGGTTTTATTTAATTGTAAATAGCATTTCAACGCCACCCTCTTAGAGGCTTGTGTGTGACCTTAAGGGAACCTTTGCAAGCGATACAATACAATATTCTAGTTTTTCCAGATTCTATCCAGTTATACTTACTTTTGCCCCCCTTGACACCTTTTTATCCCAGGCGAACATAGCTTCTGATTTGATGTCTTATTCTCTGCCGGAGCCTGGAAGATGTTGACAGTCTTCATTTCAAGCTCCAATCCAGCTGTGTGTAATGGAGTGTTGTGTTTTCTTCCCAGGTCGGATCACCAAGGTTTTCATCTCCCACCTGCACGGAGATCACCTGTTTGGTCTCCCTGGTCTCCTTTGCACCGTGAGCCTCAACACCAACCCGGAGCAGCAGCACCTGAGCTGCGTGCACATCTACGGGCCGCGGGGCCTCCGCCACTTCCTGAGGGTGACGCTCGGCCTCACGGGGTCGCAGCTGCTCTTCCCTTACGCAGGCACGTTGTACTTCTGACGTGTACACATACTGCAGTTTTAACATTGTCTGGGGTACTAAAAACATCACCCAATGTAAAAAAACACTTTGCATTTGTGAGTTTAACTGCATCTGGAGGTGTCACAGGACTTTTGTAATCTCTGCATAAGTCATTCAATTTCAAAATGACTATATATAAAACTTTTAATGTAAGTAAAAATGAATATCATAGTTTTTGCAGCAGAGCAAACCTACACTGCAGGTTGAGTGTACGCTGCTCAAAGGAACTCTGGCCGCACTAAGTCCCACTTCAACTTTTCACTTTTTTTTTCTCCACATTTCCAACCCTCTGTTTACTGAACTTTGCAGATAACTATTGATCCACCCTACTTTACTGCATATCTTTTGATCCAACTGAATTTACTAGATATGTTTATCGTGATAAATTGTTACGTAATGTTTAGGTAATCTGCATTGTTTTAGTGCACGAGTTGGAGCCGACACCGGACCAGAGTCCAGAGGAGGGACAACTCAGCGCCGAGGTAAGTGACCGATTTTCCTGTTATTACTGCGTGGCAGTAAATTACACTCGGGCAGGTGACTTTCTGTAGGTTTATTGGGAATTATTCTCTGAAAAAAACTGCTTAATATGCTTGTAGACGTTGCTGATGAGTGTTGGGGCTGAATCATAACCTACTAGCAGGAGGACCAAAACATTTAGCTTGTAAATGCCTCAACGTTTCATATGTATATATGTTAATATGTGTATGTGAAATATCATTCTTCAGTCATCCTTAGTGCTCTGTGTTGTGTCTCTTCAGATGACAGCGGAGTGTGGCCCTCTGCACCCACAGGAGCAGCCGGGCAGGACCATCTTCCTGGATGTTTCCAGCGACAGTTACCTCCTCTTTGAAGACAACAAGTTTTCGGTCAAGGCCTTCAGGTTGTTTCACCGCATCCCTTCCTTCGGGTTCTGTGTTCAGGAGCGTGATCGACCCGGGAGGCTGAGGACTGAGCTCTTGAAGGAGCTAGGTAGATATCTTTGTTACTCTTGTATTTACCTGAACAGTGTGAATCTACACCCAACACCCATCCGGTACCCGTTGCATATTTGAATGATTCCGTGGTTAATCAGTAGTAAAGTTTCTTATTGGCTTCTGTGATCCAAATGGCACTTGTGGATGATTGTCAACCATCTAATTTTGTGTGTCCCCCCCACCAGGCCTGAAACCCGGGCCGCTCTATGGGCGGCTGAAAGCCGGCCAGCCTGTAACTCTGGCGAGCGGGCGCGTCCTTCTGTCCGGCGAGGCGCTGGAAGAAGCCGTTCCCGGTCGGAAAGTCTGCGTCTTTGGGGACTGCAGCGGCGCCGTCGGGGACGGAGCACTGAGGCTGTGCAGCGAGGCCGACGTTCTGGTCCACGAGGCCACGCTCGGGGAGGAGCAGCGCGAGAAGGCGGTGGACCACGGACACAGCACCCCGGTGATGGCGGCGGCGGTGGCTCGGGCCTGCCGCGCCCGGCGGCTGGTGCTGCACCACTTCAGCCAGAGGTACAAACCCGGCTCGCTGCAGAGGGAAGGCGACGAGGACGACGTGTCGCAGCTCAAGAGGCAGGCGGAAGAAGCGCTACGGGACAGCGGTATCGAGGTGACTTTGGCAGAGGACTTTCTCACTCTGCCTGTTCCTCTCAGAAGACCATAGTTATTTTATATTCCCTCGCTCCGTTTCGGCTGTCGTTATCAACGCGATGCCGTTTACACATTTGGCTCTTCAAAGTTAGCGAGTTGGAGATGACTTGAGTTTCTTTACCTTTTCTCCTTTTGGTCCTGTAAAGTTGAGTTTGACAGCTGACTCTTCCCTCAGAAACATCAGGTGACAAAATAACCTCGGCCCCTTTTCCTTGTTTTTCCCTACATTTCTGTAGGATTTCCTGACAATTGTTTATTATAGTAATTGTCACACAACAATGCATTGATTATCCACTATGCAACTGGTCCATTGACAATTTGAATCCAACTGTTTTAATGGAAAGTCTCTAAATTAAATCGCATCAATAATGAAATGGTCGGTTTTGGTTTTAGTTGCGTCTTTTTTGCGCTGTTAACTGAATACTAAAGCAATCTGATTTTGTGATGATAAAGAACATACAGCCATTTGTGAACATCTCTCAGGGAGACATTTCTGTATTTAGGGACACAAAATATCTAATGTTTAGAGTAAAGTATAGAAGAAAAACCTTTTTAGTCAATTCTCATTGTGAAATCTTTTACTCTATTACTAAAATGTGTTTTCACATTATATTACACATGTTTTTTTTGTTTTTTTTAATCCGTGGACTCCAGTTGTCTTCCAAGTGTTATAAAAAGAGAATTATTACATACAAAGCAGTTTGTCAGTTAACTAAATATTATATATATTGGGATACTAGCACTTTCCCCGAAAGAGCATAGTCCCACTAAGCAAAGATTCCAATTATTCCATCATGTAAACACAATGTTTCAGCTCGGTCAGTATTACGTAGACGACAGATATTCCGTCCTCTCTCTCGCTTGAAAGTGTCATTAAACAAATGTTTAATGATTCTACACCGGAAAGAATTTTACCTTTTCATGACACTTTTTTTCACGCTAAGCTAGACCTATATCAATATTCATGCTGTTCTGATTTCTTTAATGAGCTTTGCTATGGCTTTTCTCATGGTTTGTGTTACTTTTCAAGGCATGCTATCCTGTGAAATGTTTCATTAAGCTTCATCATAGAATAAATCCATGGCATCCATGACTATTGTATGCCTTTTTTTTTAGCCTTCCAACGTCTTTGAGACGATAAACACAAAACAAACATTTCTGCACCTTTTCCAGAGCTTTATTTCTGGATCTGTACACAAGGTATTAAAGTACAACAGAAATACAAAATAATGTTTAACCAAACGAGAAAGAAAACTCAATGTTTATGTACAATTCTTATAAACAATAAAGATAGCTTCTTGAACATTTCTCATATTGAAGTTTTGATTGTCTATATTTCTGGATATACATTGTTAGGTTCTGTAGTTTTTATATTCACAAAAGGAGTTTGTTTTCATCAGAGGACTTGAGTTATTTTTCAAAACCACAACTGCTATACTTGTTATTCCTTTTTAAACTTCCAAACACAATACAAAATTAATTTGTTTAGTGCTGTCTTGCACACACGTCTCATACCGGAGATATCAATAAAATATCACATTTTTCGAGAGTTCACAGGGAGGTGAAAACCTACTTCTACTACTTAATGGCCTTTACATTCTGACAGTTTTTCTGAGTCTTTGTACAAACCACAGGTGAAATAAATATCACTGCACTGCTAAAGCTAGAAGAGCTTTGAGGACCTACTGCATTATGCACATTGCATTAAAAGAGAAACGAACGCTCCACATACTTAGAACAGCAGCCATCCCTTTACCATCAAGACAAAGATAGATATGGAAGAAAAAAAAAAGCGAGGAGCGTCTTTTACACGTGGCTGCAAGTTTTGAAGGCAAAATTGCAACATAATAGGTAATATCAATAGGTCTTCAGGTAAAGCCATTTTCAGTGGTACAATGGGAAAACCGACACAGCTGGCATGCGCGGGTACAGCCGGGTCCGGGGGGGGATCAGGGCTTCCCAAAGAGAGAAAGTATATTCACACACCAACTGGCAAAATGCTAAACCCAAAAGAGCTGTACATATCTACAAATTATTGCCTTTTGTCAAGGAATCAAATTAAAACCTTTCTATGCACATAGATTCACAAGTGTAAGAGGTCAGTTAATAGACTTTTAAAGGCTATTTGCTAAATATTTACATGAAATGCCGTGAATATCCTCTCTGACGGTTTAGAAGCATGAATCCTGTCTGTACACACTGAACGGTGAATTACTACATGGAAGGACATGACAAACATGATGTACCCCTGAAACAAACTAATTAGTCATAGCACAATGCATAGATAAATTAAGTAAACACTACTACTGCATCCAATCGACCAGAGAGGACCCGCAAAAAACATTTAAAAATTCACAATTCTGGACAGTCATGAGACAACAGCTCCATTTCTGCTACTGGACTGCAAGAAACCGTTGACTAGATTACACAAGGCGTTCTCTAGTCAGTACAGATTAGGCAGAGATTGAATAATAAAAAAAACTAAGTGGCTTTAAATAAAGAGTTAATACTGCTAGCAGCTTGCTAAGTGGCTGGAAAATGGCATTACTTGATTTAAGAGCATATTCGGACATTATGTTTGCTGGAAAAAAGGACACATTCAATTAAACTTGCATTAGTGTAGCATGATGGAATGGATTAAACTTAAGTATAGGTAATAAATACACACTTTACAGCAGCTGTCTAAGTAATTAACCGATAATATTGCTTTTATGGTTAGTTTTTAAGACCAATTATCTTTTTAGGAAGAGTCCAGATTTACTTTTCAAAATAACTGTATCCAACCCAATAAACACAGCTGATGTTACTCTGCACAGGTTTTCTTCATTAGTCGTTTAACGTTTTAAAAGAAAAATGATTTGGGGACTTAAGTTTTTCTAAATGGGATTCAACAAAAACAAAATCAAACGTTTCAGTTCAGCTGAACAGTTTAGAAAGTAAATGAACAGGTTAACTGGACACTTCCACAGGAGAAATAAACTAGACTGGAAAGCCTGAGCTGCTGACCTTAACCACACTGCTAGCTAATCTCCATGCTAGTGTTGCTCTTCATACAATATCTAGCAACGCTTATTTCACACCAGCCTGGCTACTAAAAAGTACCTGTAAACCAAACTCTTCAGTTTAAAAAAGTACCACTTCAACCAACAAAGACAAGCAACTAAATACTGAGAATAGAGGCAGAAGACGCAGCCGGTTTTGGCAGCTGAAAGAAATGGCAGGATAACACACTGCAGCTCTGAAGACGTGAGGAAGTAAGATACACGACTCTCCTCCTGCTCCGCACATGGACGTCACATCTCAAGAGCGCAAAACGAGAATAAAATAAATGGCTATAAACTCTTGAGAAATCAAGATTTTTAGTTCTATATGATAGACATCACTGATGTCATATTACACAAAAAATGAAAACAAAAAAGTAATATATACACATATATATATATATAATATTTTTCTAACAAATTGGATTCTCCAGTGAGGTCAGTCTTTTGTACAACTGGGGTAAAGAGTTCCAAAGGGAAGAGCACGGGGTGAAGACGAGGAAGGTCACTCTGACTGAAGTGCTGCAGTGTGCTGTGTGTGGTGCCGTGCGTGTGCTCCCAGGAACCCGTTGGGCTCGCCGCCGCCAGCCAAACTCCCGAAGTCCGTGACAGACACTGCCATTTTGGCGCCAGTGATCCGGTGGTGATGCGTCGTTGTCCGTCGCGCTTCAAAGTCCACTCCCAGGTTGCCCACGGACACGTCGTTGATGAAGGCGTCGGGCAGGGCCATCTTGAGTCTCTTGGAGGGCCGCTCGCAGTCCTTGTTGACGCACACCCCTCCGAGCTGGCCGAGATCGGAGTGGTAGAAGCCGGCGTCGAGCATGTTGAGGCAGCCGGGGTCGGCGCCGTTAGAAGGGTAACCGAGGGATTCGTCGTGGTTCAGGGACCCGCGGTGGAGGCTCTCCAGCGGCGGAAAACTGTAGGAGTCCATGCAGCCGACCTCTGCGGGGTTGCACACTGTGGCTACAGTGTTACTCAAAGCTGCACAGAGACAGGACACCCATTTCAGATTGTGGTATTGAGAACCTCTGGTAACCATAAAATGTCATACTGTAACGTGCCATGAAAAGAAAATCAAATAATGTGATAGTATGACATCAAAACGTGATACAAGGCAAAAAGTTAGTGTACCTTTTTATTCACATGCTATGCTACATATAGCAATATGTGGTACTGAAACAGACCCACTAATCACAGTTCAACCTTCAGAGTGGGCAAGAACGTTTTACTGCAGATGGTTATTTGCCAACATACATTTATTTTTGTGACTTCAAATGTGACAAGAGTTTGTCATAACAAAGTGCAGAGCCAAGCGCCATTACTGACCTGTGAGGTCGCTGGCAGTGATGGAGTTGAGCAGGCTGAGCTGCTGCTCCGTGGTGCTCTCCAGTCTTCCTCCTCCGCCTGCTCCTGAACACACGGAGGAGGAACTATCCACCGCCAGTCCCTCGGCTTCATCCACCAGCCTGTCCATCAGGTCGCTGCATACAAAATAATCATGGTTAATTGTGAGTTCACGGAGTTAGCCATGAGCAAAAACCCCAAAAAGGAAAACGGGCCGTTGATTCTTACGTTACACCAGGATAGCTGCTGTACTTTTTCTTCCCAAATCGATTCTGCTGCACAAAGATGTCAAAGCGCTCAGACTTCTTCCACATGTAGTAAAATGCCACACATTCAGCTACTGTTCGTGTTGTGACCTATAGTGGGGGGAGAATGCCATAAATTAGTTGCACATTTGCATTATGTGTAAACCATCTTGTCTCAAAATCATGAAATAAGACTCACTTTGTGTTTCTGTATGAGGTGAAAATTCTTGTCGTACATTTGTAGTGCGTGCTCAAAGTTCTTGCATTCCTCTTCTGACCACGGCGGTGACGTTTCTGAAATAAAATTAGAAACATTAATATATTCATGCTGCACAACGATGCAATTCATGCGTAAATGAAAGGGTAGACCAACCACAGCAACTTTAAACACTGAACCGTATTTCACACATTTACTCCACCAAACATTAACATGAGGTAAAGTTCATAAATCTAAATCCTTTGTCCTGGTCAAAAGTCAATCACAACATGACAGCACTCACAAAAGCCTTAGATATGGCAAAGATAAAAAAGGGACAAAAAACGAATATCCTTTAACATTGTGTAATGTAAATGTGTACGAGAGACGGCTGTTTAAACAGATTTCTGAGATTTGGTGAGCAAAGAAAGTCTTCAGGTAAGGCTTTTAAAATAAGTAAACCTAGTAGAAAATAGTGGGCTATTGAAATACTCAGCAAATAGATGGAGATAGCAAAGTCTGACAGAAATACCTATTTGAATGCAAAGTTATGTGACAACCACAATGAATAAATATATAGAACGTGTAAAGAACCCAGAATAAAACAAATTACCATCAAAATATGAATTTCATGGTAATTGTGCTTACCTTTTGAAGACTTTACACGGATGCAGTGCCTTTCTAGTGCTTCACGGATGTTGTAGTTGCACCTGACAAGCTCGCATAAAGCCTACACGGAAAGAGTGGATCAGTGAATCTCATGCATCTTAGGACAATTAGTCAGAAGAATTCACATGAGAATAGCTCGAGTATATGAGAGGGGAGCCACAGATTCAAATAACACACACACACACACAGACTCGGAGCTGAATGAGGAACAACAGAACCGGGAAACTCTGCAACAAACGAGTAGCTGACAGAAAATCTAGTTTGTAGGCCGTTTTGAATTTGGTCACTACAGCTGACAGTTTCAAAAACAGTGAAATGAAACAGACCAGTTTCATATTCAGGTTTCAAGTTATGTGGTTTTCCCTCATTTATTTGGATGGGTGGTGTTTAGTGAGATACTGTTAATAAGAATACGTAAGTTACATCACATTTTTACCATGTAACAATATTTTCTAATGAAGACTTGATAGATTAACAAAACAATATGAACATGTGAATTCAATTTAAACACCAAGTAAAATTTAATTCTGGATTTGGAGAATTGCGACACCCCAAGTGTGATGAATAAAGTCGATAAAAAGACTAACCTGCTCATCATCTCGAACGTGCATCCACGGTTTGTCAGATCCGGTCTTTTCGTTTGTTGTCCGTGATAACACATCAGACAGGAACGTCCTAACCTTGCTTTCTGGGAGTTTACTTGGGCTCCATAATAACTCGTCTTCATCCTCATAAACTGCAAAACAAAGTATGAGAAAATAGGATTAATTCCCATGGGTGTGTTCTAGGAATGCACAAATACCAGTAACAGCGTTGGGTGCAACATTGTTTAGTCAAACTCTTCTTACATGATTACACCATTACATCAAACCATAACCACAAAGAGAAGTTACCCTTAGTTGTACTTGGTCTGAAAAAAGTGGCGAGGGTGAAACCGTGGGATCTTATTGGGCCTTTAATATATGGACAGTAAGCAATCCCATTAAAGAAGACGTCACAAAGCCATAGAAGGCAGTAGTCACCTTTCTCCTCCTCTTTGTAGTGACACAGACCAGAAGGAACCTCTGCTTGATACTGCAACCCCACCATGATTTCCTATGATAAAAATAAATAGACGATACAGAGCAATTTGGTAAACAAGAGGTGATTAATATTACAACATTTAGTGCTCTTTTAATGTGTTCTAAAATGTGCTATTCACCTTTCTGGAGTCTTCTGGGCTTGGGCCATCTTCATCGCACTCTGACTCTTTATCGCCATCAGAGATGGCGTTTGCTGATGAAATGATAAACAACATATAAATATGCAATAGAACTAAACTCTGCTCAAATTCAAAATCAGGATAAGACTGGTTGAAACACACTTTTCAGCCCCGACGCCCCCCGACACAGGAAGGCAATGAGCGCCCACCAGATAAAAGGCTCCTAGTGCCTTTGGGAAAATGAAATGCCTCCCCTCCTACAAGTTTTAAGATATTGAATATCAAAAACTAGATTTAGGATGTGACGAACGATCCGCAGGGACACTGTTACTCGACAACAAAAAACAAAACAATGAGTTGTACAATTAACCTAATGTGGTTCTCTGCACACTGTACCCTCCTTCAGTGTTTTATTAAACTTGATCCACACAATCAACAAAGAAGATCATTTTTGTAATCCAGTTATCTTCAAAGTGGTACCCTTTTTTTCAAATTATTGCATGGCACGTAAAGCTACAGACATAAGAAGAAAAGTCTGGCACGGGACACTTACATCGAAGTGTTCTTGGGAAGAAATCGGTAGCCTCGTGGGAAGTGACTGACGGGGTCAAGTCATCAGCTGAGGACTGAGTCTCCTCCTCGTAGTCCCCAGACAACAGGTCCTTCGCTATTTCCTCCTAAAAAGAAAGCAATAATACTGGTTGCACATTGGGGTAGACCAACAGGATACTTTTAGAATTACATTTTGAAGATATGGTCATTATCAAAGAACGTCTCCCCAAACTACATGTATTCTCCACATAACAGCCATTATTCACCTTGTCCAGAGTCATGTCAGGCAGCTCATCAGTCAGGTCTCCCGATGAGCTGTCTATACTGGAGCCTGCTGAGGCCTCGTAGCGATAGATGGCAAAAAGTTCCTCCAAAGGCATGTTACCCTCCTGTTAGAGAAAAAGAGGATTTTTTTTTTTTGTAAAACACTGCATTTTTTCTGAGTACAATTCAAATTACATTTGACTTGAAAAACCTAAAGCATTATACTCAATCTGTAATTTTGTTTTTTGGTTCTACAGAAACAGCCGATGGGGGTTTAAAAGATAATTTGTTGAATTTAGTATTCATAAACTCATTCACTTTCACCCGGATAAAGTCTATGATTGCCATTAATAAAATGCAATTAATCAAATGTGTTGAACTTCAGTGTTTCCCTTTGATTTCCAAATCAGCCAGTTTGTTAAATTAGAATAAGTCAATCCTGTTTCAGAGAATTTAGTACACATATAAATTTACCTTTTCGAGATCTGCAATCTCCGAGGTGAAATTCCTGCCTCCCTCCTGAGACTCTTCCTCTTCAAGAGTCCTCTCGTCATCGTACTCATGAACTAACATCTCTGCTGTTGGGTCAAAGTCATGGTCCTCCGACGATAAAGAGCCAACTGAGAAAGAAAGAGAATCTTAAATATTATTTCAAATATCAGCACAAATTAGCTTTATTTTAATACTGCACAGGCGACTATGCTATATTCATATATTGCAATGAGTTTATTTCATTTATAATATACTTATCCCTCAAAAAAACTGACCAATGTAATTCAATTCAATGTTGAATTTATTCAAATATGTGCCATTAAAATACATTTAATTAGGTGCATCAAAAACTGTGTATAGCAATCACGTTCTTACCTGGACTTGAACTCCCTAGGGAAGCCTGCAAAAGAATAAAACCAGAACATAACTTAATGGGAGAAACACATGACACATGGGTTCAACTATGATGCCACCTCCTTTAACCACAAACCAGGTAGGATGCGAATAGAACCTTCATATTTTATATAACTACTACCGACAGTAGTTACCGCTGATGTTAAGGTAACCTAAAATAGGTGGCTAGTAAAATGTTAGCCGTGGATGAACGCTTAACACTATGGACAAACGTGAGCGAAACGTATCTTAGCATCCACACATAAAAATGACGCCTATGGTCAGAGGCGGTCGGAGTAAGACAAATAAAGCGATATATTGAGGGATACAGTACGAATTACGCGGTGTCTGCTAAATTTACAGTTTGCTAGCAGCAAGCTAAAGATTACCGTTAACGTTATGCATCGGAAAAAAATGTAAACACTAATTTGATTTGCTTTGAACTGCAATCTACAAAGTAAGAACATATTTACAGTATTTCTTCCGCTAATTCAGCCCGACGAGAAAATATACAATCCCATTCACAACAAGCACAGTACAATATGTTATTTCCTTTAACTAGCAAGCTAACGTAAAATTTACGTATCAATTTACACAACCGCTACACTAAAGCAGCTGAGCGAGCGCGGCGCAGCGGCCTTGTAGTGAAGGATCAGTACAGACATTCAAGCATTTTATAGAGGATTAAAAATGACAATTATGACACGAAACACGCCACACAGAAGGAAAAAACTATTATGTCTTCAATCGATAGCATAGAAATGAAAAATACAACACACAAGACTTAGAAATATCGATTTAAGATCGACCGCTTCTCTCCTGTTTTCCCCCTTACCTCCGCCATATTGGTACCTTTAGCTAATGGGCTCGTTCGAGCGCAGTACCCGGATCAGCGCTCTCAGCCAATCAGAGGTCCAGGTGGCCGTTGTAGTCGTGACGCCGTTCAAACTGACCACCGATCAGTACAGCAGCAAACATTTACAACCATCATTTACATACGGTAGCGTAGGGTTAAAATATAAGAAAGCCACATGCAAAAATGGAATTGACAATAGAGTTCGAACGTTTGACACAATGAAGAATTTACCGGCAGAACAATGCTTGGTTTTTCTCTGGACATCCCAGATGATTTCCTGCACGTCTCAATATTGTTGATTGATCTGGCATTTAAAAAGCTCGGTATAATCACCGTTGACATTAGTGATATGACATTACAATAAGAGCTTTTAATTGGGACCACAATGATGTTAATACAACTAGGAAGGTTTGATTTATTAATCAAATTCCTTATGATCATTTTTAAAAACGGTGGCATCGTTTTCATGTTATACTATACTAATAGTACTAACAAACGCAGGTGTGTCTTTTAAAATAGTTAATAAAATAAACAAATTCCCTATAAGGTTGGGTCAAAATGTCTTAGATATTTATTTTTTTCCTCCATTTTTCTTTTCTTTTTTGAGAATTAGATCTTTAACAAATTTACCCACGGTACAGGTTTTGTTCAAACGCCATATTGTTGCAAAAGTTGTAAAATATTGTTTCCTACTCAAATTTTCATACATCAATATCACTATATTCATAAGTATTCATAAATTCCAATGCAACATATTTGAACTCAATTCTATTTTCATACAATTTCTGCTACAGGCCAGCAGAGGGCAAAAGAAACCATTAAAAGTGTGACTATATCCAGGCCAGTAAGATCCACAACATATTTACTTCCTCCTGGATGACTGCAAAACTTCATTGTATTTTATCATATAACATAAATTGGCTGCCACATTTGATGAACTGAAGTGTTGATTGGATTTACATTGGCATCACAAAGCAAAACTCACAACTGCACATTTAACATTCTCACCCAAAGACAACCTCACAAAGGCATACATTACAGGTTGGCCATCGTCTTAAAAGTTTTGTTTTATTTGTTAAAATTCTCATCTCATCCAATCACAATGTAATTTCTGCTTGTCTACCTGCTTGCTTGCCTGCGGACACTCTGCACGTGCACCGATTGCTCGTACACGTAAACATCGCGTGTGGTGTAGAATCTGTTTGCTCCTCTTGCAGTAAGTCATCTTTATGTTGTGATGTAGAGCAGTAACCATCTGCCATGCTTACTCACGGGTTGTGGGTGTGTGCTAAACTTTGTCAAAGAGTCCGAGCCTTTGTTGTTTACAGAATTGTCCTATTTCCTTTTTCAATGTGATCATTTTTCTCTCTCAACTTGTCGCACCACGTAAACACTTTTGTGTTGTCGGAAAACAGAATCCCCCCGTAAGGCTTAGGAAAGGCAACGTGGGCTTTGTTTGGATCCCTCTTTAAACAAATGAGTCACTGAATTCAGAGTGTTTAGAGGCACATCCCTCCTGCAGGCCTCGTCTGTCAACCTGTTACCTCAGATAACTCATCAAAAGCATCCCGACGTAAGTGGTGGTTCTTCTTCAAAGCGGTAAGTAGGTGCAGTCGTTGCCATGCTTACCGTGGCCTCTCACTCACCACTGTGAGTCGTGCTCTCGGGTGGGATGGCCGGCTTTGGCCTTCGTTTGTGAGGCAAGTCCTTGGTCTGCTCACCAAGCTACCTGTGTGTCTGTCGTCATGCAGAAACTCTTTGCGTTCTCAGGACTTTTTTGTGCTCCTTGTCGCAAATGCCAGAACGGAAATGGGGAAAAGGGCTTTTGTGTAGTCGGCACCCTCATCGGCGAATACGTTGCAGAAAGATATTAAACGTAAAGAATTGATACGACTTACTGCTTTTCAATCTAAAATTAAGGAAATGGAGGCAGGTTCCCAAAAATGTCAGTGTTTTGTTTTTTATTAACCTGGTTACATCATGTCTCTTAAACTTCTAGTTTCTTTTAACTCGTCTTATTGTGTGTTTTCTGTCTGAAACTATGCGTTTCTATGTCGCTGCCTGTCCTGGCCAGTTCTCCCTCGAAAAAGAGACGTTTCATCTCAATGTTAAATAAAGGTTTAAATGAAAATAAAATGTTTTTTTAAAAACCCATTAGTAACTTTTACAGAACAATGTAGTCGGAAAGACGTGGGTCCTCATCAAATAGGTGAAACTGTCAGGTCAAGAAGTTATCCTCTGACGTGTGTGGTGGAGCGATGGGTGACACGGGGTCACGTTCCATTGTTCCAGCGAAAAACGGATGTGGCTGAATAACACACCTACACTAGTTCTGCTTTTGTCCAGCAGCTGCCCACTCAGCTGATGTGCTATTAGAGGGACGGAGAGAGAGAGAGAGAGAGAACTCATTATAATAATACTAGTGACCTCCTCACAATTATCAATTCAATTTCAGACTAAAGGGACCAATCAGCTACATATTCATTGATTCTAATGTGTATGTCCTCAGAATATTGCACTTAGTGAACTGCAAGCCCTAAAAACATTTGGTTCATGATGTATTGTTATTTTTTTAGGATGATTAATCCTGAATCCCCACACAAATAAGTGCAAATGGCTGTGCTGAAAAACTCTCTCTGTATAAAGGTATTCATTGTCTTTTCTGCAGAATACGACTGGATGGAAAATAAAGCAAATTAATATTATTTTTAATAAAACGTTAAAACCTTTAGAATCTGATGTACACTTGTTTGCATTAGAGTATATACACTTTGTTTACACAATCGCAGAGCGTCAGACATTTCATTATGTAAAACTAAACCTCAGATTTAAATTATTTTAAGTAATCATGCTGTTACGGTAATCAAATGAAGCCTGGTTAACCACAGGCGACATATCTTCATTTCCTCCTGGAGCATTATGTAGTCAAGTCGACATTGTGAAATGATTAAACATGTACTTTACATCTGGAAGTATACAATCCACCAGGTGGCAATGTGCGACAGCTGAGGGTTCTTCATGACTCAGCTTCAGCATTTTCCATTCACCCTGTGCTCCAAACACCAGCCTCCGTTGGGCTGCAACAATGCCTGTGTGAACACCAACTGCCTGTTGTGTTGATGTCCTTGGGTGAATCGTGTGATGCACCGACATGTGCAGCGAGAGAGGTTTGTGTGTGTTTACAAGGGAAGTATTTATCCGCACATGCGTGTCACTAAGCAGTCAGACGCTGCGGGTCGAGCCCTGCAGTGTCAACAGACCTGTCTAAACAACTTGGCCTGTTTAAAGGTTCAGATGATTGATGAGTAATACAAACACATTCTGTAAAACTACACAACTTCAATGAAATCCTAGAGAAAACATTGCACACGTGTATTTCAATTTAGGTTAAACTGTGACCTGTTTAACCTAATGTATCGGTCAGAGATGCAAGTAAACAACTGGGAGCTGAAATGTAAAATCAGCTCCAACAACAAGCATTTGACGGGAGAGGAGACCCAGTTTTAAGTTAAGTTATTTTAAGTCAACATAATTGATGACAAACCAAATACAGACGGTTAGCAAAGCAATTTCAATCCATCCATACATTTGTATCTTTAAGCAAGAATAAAGGATGGACATTTAGATTAAAAGTCTTTGTATTAATGTACTACATCACGTTATCAAATCAGCAGATCTTTGATAAAGTAAGTTACAGTATATTAACATAAAGTGATCTGCAGTGAAACTGTCCCAAATGAAGGATGGATGGTTAGTAGTTGCAGGTCACCTAATCTAAGACTACGATATCAAGTAGATCCCTGTGAGCCATGAGAGAATCATAACTTATGATGTGTATGTCATGTATCGATTCAATTAGGCAGTGGCACAAAAAGCCGTGGTGGTTGTGAATTGCACCAAAAATCTGTATGTGTGTTGCTGTAACATGACAACATGTATCAGTCTTCACAATGATTGATGTTAATTTAAGTATAATAATTGCCGGCCATTGGCCTCCTGTTACAGCTCTCGAATATTCATTAAAATGCGCTGTATGACTTGTACCACACATTTGTCTACAAAATTAACTTAAATGTGAGATTTTTTTTGTAAAAAATAAATTTCTATGTAAAATCCTAAAAAGGTCTGTTAGGTCACTAACACGGTCCTCAAGAGATTATTCTGGTGTATTAATTACAGAATTACACAAAGTACGTACATGGATGCTATTACTGTTCTATCTTACAGAATTGTAATTCCCCATGAAAGTGTTTCATGGAGATTTAAATTGATTTTGAAGTACTTTAAACACAGAACGAGTCGGACCGTTAAGACTTCAAAGTCCTTGCATGCTCAGATTGGGCCTCACTTTAATTGCTAGTTTCCCAGTATGCCTGAAAGCACAGATGCCTCAGCGTGGTTACACAACCGGAAACTTCCCTGCCAGGCTGAGCTGAACTTATAATAGCATCCTTCGGTCATAAAACTAGGGACACTTCATTCAACTGTGCGTTCAGGTCCCAGTCTCCACTGGACCCGTGGGTTGGAATCCAACATCTAACACGGATTGATGTGGTTCACTTGCTCGCTAGCCTGTAAAGTGATTAGGTAAAGGCAACAATACTGTGCTGTGATTTTCTAAAGTCCTATTAGTCCCATCGCTAGAGTATTGGTATAAAGATGGCATTAATGTTACAAAGTAAATGAATGGTAGCTGCACTGCTTTAAGGTAAGATGCTGCAATGCGGCGTCTAGACACAATATTCTATGTAAGAATATACTAACAAAGGGTAAAGCAATGACATATGCAGTGTACGATATCAATATATTCTTTTATAATTTTGTAAGGCGCTGCGTTCAGGTCCCAGTCTCCACTGGACGCGTGGGTTGGAATCCAACATCTAACACGGATTGATGTGGTCCACTTGCTCGCTAGCCTGTAAAGTGATTAGGTAAAGGCAACAATGCTGTGCAGTGATTTTCTAAAGTCCTAATAGTGCCATCGCTAGAAGTTTATTTATCAAATCAGGCCAAAGCGCACCCACCGCCAATCTAATGCAGCCATTATGAGCT